ATTACTGTGCGGGCATACATACATAGAGTATATGTAATTGGAATTCGGATTGCGTTTACTTCGTACTGTGGATGTTTTTGCTTGTTTTTGTTGTTTTGAAATCTTTATTGGATGCTTGTAACGGGCAGTAGTATCCATAAAATTATAATGGTAAAATGTTAAAAGTTTAACTATGCGCTTAGAGTCTAATGAAAAGTGTATACATAGACGAATATGTATGGTAATTCAGAATTTTTTTTTATCTTCGCTTAGGTTCTTCTAGTTTTTTTTTCACTGTGGGTGATTGTGTGTGTGTGTTTTTTCTTTTTGTATGGGGTGCTGGGGATTTGGATGCTTGGGGTTTCTTGTTAGTTATGCTATGCGCTTTGCAACTATTATTAATTTAATTTAATTTAAATTGAATTACAAGTAATCGGTTTAGTTTTCTGTTATTTTCAAATCGTAGCTTAATTAATTATCTATGCCTTTGCACTTGCTTTGATTTTAGCTTGCTACATTTTTCTCTTTTTTTAATTAATTTTATTTTCGTTTCGCTTGTTTTTGTTTTTGTTTTTTTTTTTTTTTTTGCCGGCTTGCCCTACGTTCAATAGTAAAATGTATATATATTTATATAGTTATATGTACGTTAAGAATTACATTAATATAGGACATAAGTCTAAGAGGATGTAGGCTTGCTAATGGGAATCGAGGGGAGTGGGACTGGGACTGGGATTGGGAGTGGACTACAGGTGGATGGCCTGGACCGTTCAGAGAGGACTTTAGGGGGAACTTCCTATAATCGTATTAATTAGTAGTAAAATTTGTATGTACAATTCGTTACGTTGCTTAGGACTGATCGTCGATCAACAGCATGACCTGTTGCGTTGTCGTTTGTGGATTCCTTGTGCACTCCACCTGATGAGCATTCCAATCCTTGCGCTGGCAGAACTCTGAACAGTACGGCGTCTTACGGCACAGTGAGCACTCGGCCAATGCTTCGCGGTTACAGTTGGCGCACTATTTAAAAGAAAATAATAAGGATTAGTGTTATTTTAAATTTGAATGGAGTGGATTTAGATGAAGTTTTATACAAGCAAAGGTTAAGGTTAGGTTGTATTTCTTTAAATAAACAAGCTTTTGGTAAAATGTCGGTTGAAATTATATCCCAATGGCTTATGTTTTGTGGACAGCAATCAATGAACATTTACCTTCTTGGCCGAAATGATCTCATTGCCATGCAGGGATCCGGAAATATTCGGGTCGTCGATGTCCGCGTGCACCTGGACACGCATTGCACTGACCGCCGCATCTCGCTCCTTCTGCAGAACCTCGAGGCGACGCTCGTACGATTGCTTCATGTCGTTGAGCAGGCGCTTAAAGTCACTGGTCGCCTTGACCATGGTGCAGTAGACATGCTCGATGTTCTTCATCGATTGACTGGTGTCCAGGACGGCGATGGAGGAGCCATCGTTGATGTTTACCACAAACGTTTCCCTTTCGTAGGTGTTGCCCATCTGTGACTGGTCGACCAGCTCGGTGGAGGTGTCCAGGCTGTCGTTAAGTGCTGCCCACGGTTCGTCCTTGGACGTGATGTTCTCTTCTGTCAGGAACATGTTGTTCTCGTCCACCACGCTGGCTGTTGCTGCGGCCACAGCGGCGGCGGTCACATCTACACAATTGTTGGCTCCACTCCCGCTTGTGTTGTTGTTATTGGTATTACTATTGTTGTTGTTACTATGATGGGCATTACGCTTGCGTTTGGGTCCTGGCTCCATATCGAGATCAGTTTGATTCCGCTTCCGCCGCTTGTAGGGCGTGAAGAGTCGGACAGGGCCGGAAGCTAAGCAAGACGAGCGTGTAAGGGGGTTAAACAAATGTTTTACATTCAATTGTGGGGCACATGGAGCTCGGCATAACTGGAGAAAGCATAAACAAGGGCAGTTCAATCTGAATACCGAATGGAAAATACTATATGCACCTCTTTCGAGAATAATGATCCGATCAAAGTGATTAAAACAAAAACGAACAACCAAATTAATAACTTTAAAAGACATTTGAGGCTATGAGACTTTTTTAAATTATTTAAGATATAACAATGTTTTAAACTATTTTTAATTAACTGTCAAGATGTAAGGCCAATAGTCTTTGCTAACATATCCGTGGGATTACAAATCTTTTAAGTAATGATTTAATGATTTTTTTTTAAAACAAATATTTTCTTACTTTTAAGTTTAATTTCGAACTTTCTCTAGAATTGCAAATTTAATTGAAAAATAAAGTTTTCGTCAACTGAAAATTTTGCAATCTTGCATAACATTTTTTTTTTTTAATTAGTGTAAATGATTTTTAGAAGTGCTATTCCAGGATGGTATTATTTTCCACGTCTATATAACATTAATTATTTTAATCTAGATTTGATTATATTGCTTCAAAATTTATTAAAAAAAGGGAAATTAACAGAATAATGTCAGAGAATCCTTGCAAGTAGCAAAAAGTTGGTCATAAGTTAAAGTCGAGAAAACGGGCATTGAAGTGTGATCAAATTCTTGTGATATGCTCGAGCCCCCTGTACTTGTGGCACCATGGAGGACCTGCGAACAGGTCCGCCATTTCAAAGAGTGTAATAATTGTTGTTCATCTCACCTGACTCACCTGCTTCGTCGTCGCAGCAGACCGTGCAGCTGCAGTTGGTCGCGTGCGGCGTGAGCGTGCCCTCGTCGATGAGGGACTGCAGCGACTTGCCGCCGTACTTGATGGAGCGCTTCCAATCCTTACTGGAGCCCCGGCCGCACACGTGCTCAAATTCACTGGGCGTATGCCACTTGTCCTTGTACTTGACGCAGCGTCCGCGGCCGCCGGAGCCCAGTTTGCTGCGATACAGCTCGGCGCAGGTGGTTTTACAGCGGATCTGGAAGACCTCCATGTGCTGGGTGGACGGATTCTCCGACCAGCCCGAGGAGCCACCGCCCGTCCCGCCACCGCCGCCACCAACGCCACTCGCTCCGCCGGCGGTGTGCTCCAAGGTGGCCAGGCTGTCGTGGCTATTATTGCTCCCGGAGCCATCGTGGTTCAGTCCAATCGTATTGGTGGCGGTCGTGTTGGTGCCCGCACTGTTGGCGCCGCCACCACCGCCGCCCGGTTGCGTCTGCTGCTGCTGCTGCTGGATGACGATCGTCTTGAGGTCGTTGCCCATGCTGACCGTGCTGCCGGACAGGTAGCCATTGTTGTCGACGCACAGCATCGGCTTGAAGTGGGGCAGCTGGTCGGGCGTGATCACATTGAAGGTGGTGCCGGTTATCATCGATCCGATAGGCAGGGATACGGGTACCGAAACCACTCCGCCTCCGCCCGCTCCGCTCGTTCCGCCACTGGCGCCGCCGCTGCCGCTGTTGTCGTTGGAGGAGGATGTGACCATGCGAACCTTGGAGTCCAACTGCATTACCATAGCGCACATATTCCCACGTTCGTCACATGTATGTGGGTGAGTGTCCAGCGGCCAATTGGTGGCGTTAGCGATTTAATTTGTGGCGATTTGCACAGGAATCGGAGAGGAAAATTCGAATGTAAGTAAACAACACAGCATGGGAAAAATGAAAATCGGTATACACAACATTTGTGCGCCACAAATGCGGTGGGTGGAGGAGGTGGAAGGAGGCGGTGGTGGCAGGGGGATGGCTGTGGCCCAGTGGGTCGCATGGAGCGCTCGTAGGGCGCAAGTTGCGCCACCCCCAGGCCACCCAGCCGCCCAACCACCCACTTTCCACAACTGCGCAGAGCGAAGCGGAGCGGTTTGTCGAGCCAGATTCGGTTTCGGATTCACATACAGAACCTGAACCTGAACAGTTGAACAGTTGAACAGTCTGGAACCAAAACCAAAAGCATTCCAAACCACCCCGCCAAAGCCAGCGCCAAAATGCACCTCGTTTGTTGCTCCTTTTTACCTGATGGTGATGATGATGATGGTGATGGCCCGGGCTTTCTAATATCACCTCTTCTTTCACAACATCATCGGCCAGCGCGGCCAGGTCTTTCCTGTTCAGGTGCAGCTCGGTGGAGGAGTCGACCTGTTCCATATTATTGTTATGCCAGTTCACTTTCACTTATTCTTCGGGCCAATAATGTTAATGCGGTTGAATTGTTCATCGAATTGCAACAATTGCAATTGGATACGATATATATTCGACGTCCGACGACGGACAGTCGGTCGGTCGGTCTGTTGTTGTTGCTGCTGCCGCCGCGATCCGCGTTTTTCCCGCGCTCACCACTCACATGCGAATTGCGCGTTGGTCGCGTTCTCGTTGCATTGCCCTATTTACAGCTTTTGGTTCTTTGCAATTTACATTTTTTAAGCTTAAACTTTACTAAAATTCGTCTCTAAAAGTTGATATCCTCCTCTTCTTCCTCATGATAACTAGAGTTGTCATGCGCGATGCAGCTATCGCTTGCTATCGGCGCTATCGATAGCAGCGTTTCGTGCTTATTAGCTTTGTCCCACCACTGGATTTCGTAATTCGAAAGTTTAACTGCTATTTGTGCTACAGCTTACAACATATTTCAATGAAATGCGAGGAAATGGAATAAGATAATTTAATTTAACAAAAATTGTTTTTGTTCAGTTGGAGTCCATCTTGACGCTTCGTGATGATAGCTTTGTCACATTACTTTATTTTTTAATTCAAAAGCTTAACTTTTATTTTTACTACAATCTACACCTGTTCTTTATGAAAATGAAATGAGAATTAGGAATTAAAACTGTATGGCTCTCTACAAACTATTTTCAGTTTTGTCCCAGACTGAAATATTAATGTTAAATTTATATTTCGGGAAAATCCAATCCTAAATATTACATATACGATTTAAATTAACTAGGAATACATTTTGCTTCAAATCAATAGAAAAAATAATATTCATTGGTTAATTGCTTTGTCTTAAAATTAAAAATATAAAACAAGTAATATATATAAAAAAATTGTTGTTTTTTTTTTTACCGATATGCCATCTCTAACATCGATACACCATTGAACTGCATTTCCAGTAAACGGTCACTTTACAAATAAAATGGTAACTGCAACGATTTGTTGTTTTCATGCACGCACCCTCTGATAAAAACTTCTCATGTTTAGGCCGATGTGGACGTCTTCATAAGTAACTATACCCTTGTGGATCCAGAGATTTACCAGCTATGGATCGAGGGGTTTTCTTGTAAGTTCAGAGCTCCTGGCTCCCAACTGGTTGCCCATAAAGTAAATCCTTCGTTTTGCCTTTCCAGCCAGCGAGGCAGTGTCCTATTTGAAGCAAAAAGGATTTGGCCACTCCATGGGCGCTCCCAGCGATCTGATTGCCTCCGATGTACTGGACCACTACCGCACCTATTCCCTGATTGAGCTTTATCTCAACGCACCCACAAAACTTATGGAGCAATCCTGTTTCCAGTTGGAGCCGCACATGCGTGACCTAATTACCGAGAAGTATTACTCCATCGATGATGTGGTGGCCCGTGAGATTCTCGGCAAGAAGCTGACCTCGCGCTACCGCAAGGATCTGGACGAGGTGTCCGAGAAAACGTGCGTCAAGCTAAAGTCGGTTCGGTGGGTAAATTGGTAAATTGTATAGACAGAAGATCTAAGTTATTTGTCATTCATCAACAGACGGCAGTTTGATAACGTGAAGCGAATATTTAAGGCAGTGGAGGAAATGCCGGGCACGCTGACCAACAACATAAAACAGCATTTTTTCATATCAACCGATCTTGCCAAGTGAGAAACACATTTCACGCTACTTAGTTTCATTAGCTAAGCTACCGACTTCTTAAATGTTACAGAAAGTATGCCTGCATTGTTTTCCTGGCCTGCCTGCGTTTTGAAACCACCAAAAAGAAGCTGCAATACTTGAGTTTCAGTGATTTGTTAACCTGCTCCCATGCCATCATGATCTACTGGACCTACACTTATCAGGCATGACTTATTTCTTCCTGTTTTTTGTGGAACTAATTGATTGATTGCAGCACACTGGCCCGGAATACTATGATACCGAAATGGACAAAGAGTTTCTTTTGGACTTGCGGGAATTGCGTTGTCTTCTGGATAAGGAAAAGGAAATTAAGCAGTAAGAAAGAATAATAGTCCCAAAAGGCTTTAATATAGTGTTTAATTTGTATTTAGTCTCGTCTGCATGCGCCTCAAACCTGTTCTTTTAGAGCGTGCTTTTCACGAGCTGGATGGCAACTTTCGGTAAGGACTTTAAAGTATACAACCATTACCTTTGTGTAATTCGGTTTGTTTTCAGTTCGTACTGGCGCGCCTTAATCACAATTGCCTGCAATTTGCACCGCAATCGGGAGTTGCGCGACCTGTTTGTTGATCTCTGTGAGAAACTGATTGATCCTTGGCGTCAAAATGGTTGGAATCGCGAGCAAGTAAACAAGTTCCTGGCCTCCATAACGCAGAGCGTCTTGGATCTAGAAATATCTAGGTTAGATCTTGTCAACAAGACTTCTTACTGATTTTTAATGATAAATTATTTTAATTCCTTTGCAGGGATCAGGAGACTCGATGTCTTTGGGATCGCTACATGCAGGTCATTACGCTTTGCCTGGATAAAATGTATCACATTTAAGCTGTGGTTGAGTTAACGAGAAACTTGCAATTGTTTTGTGTACTTAGTAATTATGTTTTGTTTGTTTGAATTTGTCTTAACTTATACGTATGTATTTATGACATCATATTTTATAAATACACGAAAATATTTAAAAAGTACCTAACACCTGTGTTTTTAAGAAGCGATTTTTGAAAATATATGAGAAATTGAATATATTAGTAAAATTTAAATATGGTAATACCGTTAAAAATACGCGCCTTATATTTTCTTCATAAACAGGTATATTTTAGGAACATCGAGAGGTAAACCAACTTGGGCTAGACGAAGCTTACATATATACCCTTGCAGATTTTAATTCAATACAGAATATTTAAATAAATAATAAAAATGGTATCAAAAATAACAAAAATGAAACTGATCATATATTTCCTGGCGTTACAAACATCCGATCAAAATTATATTACTCTGTGCAAGTTTATAGTAATGGTATATTTCGAGAATACTTCTGAAAGCTTGATGGTATATTTTCCAGCCGCGTTCACACTAGAGCTTCCAAGCTGAAGATGCAGGAAAAGCTTGCAATAAATATTAATCGTCGGCCTGCACACACTTCCGTTATAAATGTTATTATTGGACGTTAATGTTAGTAAACAAACTGAAGGGTTTTCATCAGAAAGAACTTAATTTGCCATAAAGAAGCGCTATTGATTCGCAATGGAAGGTCAAGAGTTTAGGTAAGTTCCATTGAAAAGTGCATTGCAAATTACACACATTATATAAAAAAAAGCGAGAGTGTGCGTTAAGCACCCACACCAAAACACCAACACACACACACAAATTGCCCAGGTAAGTTTGTATGTCTGTGTTAAGGGAAGAGTAAGCAACAGTTGACGCTTTTTACAAGGGAAAGCCACCCACAAAAACACTGAATAACGGAAAATAACGGGGTTGATTTTAATCCATTCATGTATTTTCCACTTTCAGCGAAAATCTGGAGGAGATCGAAGATGAGACTTTCGACGGGGAGAAGTCCGCGAGAACCTCAGATGAAAATCGCAAGTACGTAAATGATTCACAGCCTACATACATAGTTGGTTTAAAATCATGTTTGTTTTAATTTAATTTGTTTTTATTAATTTATTGAGTTTTTTAAACAAATAACCGTTACAAAAAGTAAACTTTTTTTGTCCGCGGAAAGGATATTTTTTTTTCAGAATCTTGACCCCAGCTTTAAAATAAAAACAGTAAAAAATAGCAAAATTGGATTTTAAAATATAAAATTAGTTTTTATTTATTTTAAAAATACTTGTAAAATCATATTAAACCAACATAGCAAGTTAAATTATTATACGATGCCAACACTGTTCATACATAGATATAGAGGAATATAAAAATTACAATTTGTACTTGACTAAATATTAACACAGATTTTATCTAACGTAGTTTAATTAAAAACCCAATATTGTTCTGTGTAACTCTGTGAAACCCAATTAAGTCCAGCATTATCAAAATTTTCTCTTTTAGACAGAACCACAGTGAAATAGAGAAGCGACGGCGGGATAAGATGAACACGTACATCAACGAGCTCTCCTCTATGATCCCCATGTGCTTTGCGATGCAGCGTAAACTGGACAAGCTGACGGTGCTCCGGATGGCAGTACAGCATCTACGGGGCATCCGTGGCAGCGGCAGCTTGCATCCCTTCAACGGATCCGACTACAGACCGAGCTTTCTCTCGGACCAGGAGCTCAAGATGATCATTCTGCAGGCGTCGGAGGGATTCCTCTTTGTGGTGGGTTGTGACCGGGGACGCATCCTGTACGTCTCCGACTCGGTTTCCAGTGTGCTAAACAGCACCCCGGCGGATCTGCTGGGACAGAGCTGGTTCGATGTCCTGCACCCTAAGGATATTGGCAAGGTCAAGGAGCAACTGTCGTCGCTGGAGCAATGTCCCAGGGAAAGGCTCATCGATGCGAAAAGTTAGTTACCAACAAGGTTAAGTTTTTAAACGATATTAAGAAGGCATTATTTTGTACCCCTTATAGCCATGTTGCCCGTAAAGACCGACGTTCCGCAGAGCTTGTGCCGCCTGTGTCCCGGTGCCCGACGTTCCTTCTTCTGCCGCATGAAGCTACGCGCCGCGAACAACAACCAGATCAAGGAGGAGTCGGACACATCTTCCAGCTCTCGTAGCTCTACGAAACGCAAGTCCAGGCTGAGTACGGGCCACAAGTACCGGGTGATCCAGTGCACGGGCTACCTCAAATCATGGACACCCATCAAGGACGAAGATCAGGACGGAGACAGCGACGAGCATACAACGAACCTCTCCTGCTTGGTGGCAATAGGTCGTATTCCCCCCAACGTCCGCAACTCCACCTTACCCGCCTCGCTGGACAATCATCCGAACATTCGCCACTTGCTCTTCATCTCGCGGCACTCCGGCGAGGGAAAGTTTCTGTTCATCGACCAGCGGTAGGTCAAATTGATTGGTTTAAAGTTTATAGATAAAAATAAGACGTTTCAAAAAAGGCTTAGTTTACAATGAGTAAGAACCCAGTAAAGACCCTTTAAAAACGATGAAAAGCTGAACTTTTCTTACTCGTTGAGCAAAATTAGTAATTGTTGTATGTAGCAGGTAGAAGAAAGCATTTCCGACCCTATAAAGTATTAATATTATCGGAGTCCATCTAGCCATGTCCGTCTGTCTGTCCGTATGAACGTCGAGATATCGTTAACTATAAAAGCTAGAGATTTTGAATTTAAAATGTAGATCCTAGTTATGTATATGTACATTATCCGATCGAAATCTATCATAAAAACATTTTCCAAATCAGACCACCTAACACTGTATTATTATTAGGGGGCTTATTTATTATATTAAAATTACTAAGCTCAGTAACAGGTATCTAATAGTCGGTGAACTCGCCTATAGCTATTCTTCATTTTTTGTTAGCACTGATTTATAAATTAATTTAGTTTAATAATTTGATCAAAATACAAGTAAATTATTTGGTATGCATATGAAATTTTTTTTTTCCTACAAAACTATATTTTTTAACTTATAAAAATTTTTAAAAGCGAATTTTTGAACCCACCTATAGGTCGCATGTTTTTCTTTTGATTTCTTATGGAAAATTAGGAAACGATCAAAGTACTTAAAACTCTGGTTTCTTTTTATCAAAGTATCGGTTTTTTTGTGAATATAAGAATATTTAAACCCTCTATACCTATAATTTTTCTTCGAATTTTTGGAAAATTAATCCCTATTAACGTTTCTATTTCCTGAATGCAGTGCCACCCTCGTGATCGGCTTCCTGCCTCAGGAGATACTAGGCACAAGCTTCTACGAGTACTTTCACAACGAAGACATCGCCGCCCTGATGGAGTCCCACAAGATGGTGATGCAGATGCCGGAAAAGGTCACCACACAGGTCTACCGCTTCCGGTGCAAGGACAACAGCTATATTCAGCTGCAGAGCGAGTGGCGGGCCTTTAAAAATCCCTGGACGAGCGAGATTGACTACATAATTGCTAAGAACTCGGTCTTCCTTTAATATTTACTATAATCCAACATTTTGATACAGTTCCAAAGATAATCCATCGTATCGTGTTGCTGGCGCCGGCGATTGAAATTTCATATCCGATGTACAAACACTACTTATTGGATAAGCTCATCATTTTTCTACCACATCAATTAAATTAATGTACAAATTAAAAAAAAAAAAAAAATATTTGCCTAGATAAGAATGTTTCGAATAATCTTAATTTTAACTAATCTCGATTTCTACATTGCTCTCTGGAAAAGAGAGGTCGCAGTAAATTAAAAACAACAAATAGTTCTTGGCCAAGCACGTTTTGGACGTGATTGTTGCTCGAATTTCTTCGGACACACAACTACTAATATTTATATACCGCCATGTGTGTATTTGGTTTATCAACTGAGACGGGCTTTTTCGCCCGTTTTTAGTTTCATTTTATTTTTATTTTCATTTTTTTTTTTTTTTTTTTTTTTGCTTGCACTATCAATATACCCACATGAAAAGGCGGCAGCCCAGGCGCGTGGGTTTGTCTGGGTCTCTGGGTCTGGCTCTCTTATTCGTTGGATTCGGGTTCGGAATCAGTTGGCATAGAGCTGGCGTGGCGTACGGACGCTCTGACACTTTGGCTCCCTAGTGAATATATCAATTACTTGGACAAAAGCCTTGATTCGGTGACGGTTTCGGCGGTTGTGGTCACTAAAGACATATGTATATATTGAAATGAGTGCCCTCATATTTCTGTGCGCGATTCTAATTGGTTTTGTGATTTATTCACTTATCAGTTCTGTGCGGCGTCCCAAGAATTTTCCCCCAGGTGAGAATATTTAGGGATACGTGAGGAAGCATGCATATTAAAAGATAGGGGAATTTTCCAAATTTCAAAGAACTGAGATGCCAGTATTTAATTTCTAAAATAAATAAAAGATATTTATTACAAAAGGTAAGGGTTAAATAAATGTAGATATTCACGACATTCTGTATATTTTACTTTTTGTAAATTAACCAAATAGATTTTTTTTAGACGTTTATGGATATTGATAGATATTTAGCCAACGAACAGGCGACCTGCCCCACCACCAATTTGAGAGCTCATTAGCAACTTGTAATGGTGATCGGATAAATCGGCGGAGAACCAGACGGCACACGTCTCACATTGCAAATAAATCTCATTGATAAAATCGTCACACATTTCTGACACCTTGCCTAACTGGTCTGAATTCGCTATTAACAAGGGCCGAGCTCATTTATTCCATTTACAAATGCAGTTTGTTATGCATTTGGACTGGGATTATGGGTGCAATGGATGTCACTCCTTTATATAGGCAGTGTTTGAATTTTATTTGTCACTATCGAAAATTTGCAATTCAAATTGAGTTATATATATTTCTTAGAGATTTTTTAGCACTCTGAAAAAAACAGTACAATTTGTTTGCCTTTTAGTTATGAAATGCAATTTTGTACGCACGCCATATTGATAGTTAATAACTAAGGGGCTTAAGAAATAGATTACAAGATAGAGTTTTCACTTTCGATTTCGTGATTTACAACCCAACAGATTTTTGTAGAACCGATAAGATAACTAAAAGGTAGAAATCACTTAATTGAAGTGGGCAGTTTCAGGGTTTAGTGAAACCGAATCTCCAACTAAATCAATGATTCATATTAAGTCAAAATTTATTCTGAAGATTTGAATCTATTGAATTATAATAAAATATTAGAGAATAATATATAAATCAATGAATATTCTTTGTCCAAAATATTAAAATTATTTAAAATTTATTTAGCGATTTACTTAACATTTATTTTCCTCAACAGGACCTCGATTCTGGCCATGGCTTGGGAACACCATACAGGTAAGAACTAAAATATCATCTTTAAAATCAACATGTTTTAATCCAATTCTTTAGCGTATATCCGATAAAAGGGTATATTATTATTAAACAAAATTAAAAATTTGGTTTTTAATCAATTTTATGATTAGCTATAAAGTTAAACGTAATGAATATGAAATTTGAAATCATTTATGGAATTCATTTACAGCACTAACTTGCTAAATTAATTTGACAGTTTTATTCAAAGATGAAAATTAAGTTTGTGGAGCATTACAGTTTTTTTAAACATTTTTTTTTTAAATTAAAGGTCAGTTATGATGTTTTGTTTTATCATGTTCATTTTATTTGATTTTACTTCGAATTCTGGTAGACTTATTTAGGTCATCTGGAGTTAATTTTGTTATAATTAAAACGTTTTTAGAGATTCGTTGGTAAATATAAATGCTTAAGTTTGCTAAAATTAAAACAAATTGCTCAAACTCAAGAACAGCAACAATAAATGTAATGTACTTGATTCTGCTTGAAGATTTAAGCCAACAAGCAATAAATTTAATTTTGTAGACTAGTGTAATTTCACATAGTATAAGCTGACATATGCACCTTTTCGGATATATACCGATTAATCCTCCATTTTTCTGCAGTTCCGAAAGGAGGCCCGTGCCCTTGGCGGCCAGCACATCCTGTTTGAGCGGTGGGCGCAGGACTTCCGGAGTGACCTGGTGGGGATGAAACTGGGACGAGAGTACGTGGTGGTGGCTCTGGGTCACGAGATGGTCAAGGAGGTGCAGCTGCAGGAGGTGTTCGAAGGACGGCCGGACAACTTCTTCCTGCGCCTGCGCACCATGGGAACCCGGAAGGGAATCACCTGCACGGACGGACAGCTGTGGTACGAGCACCGCCACTTCGCCATGAAGCAGATGCGCCACGTGGGCTACGGCCGCAGCCAGATGGAGCATCAGATCGAACTGGAGGCGGAGGAGCTGCTGACCCAGTTGGAGGGCACGGGGGAGCAGCCAATCGAACCGGTCACCTGGTTGGCCCAAAGTGTGCTCAATGTGCTGTGGTGCCTGATTGCCGGCAAGCGGATCGCCAGCCAGGAGGATGGCACCCTGCGACGACTGCTCGACCTGATGAACAGACGTTCCAAGCTCTTTGACATCTGCGGCGGCCTGTTGGCCCAGTTCCCATGGCTGCGTCATGTGGCCCCCGATCGCACTGGCTACAATCTCATCCAGCAGCTGAACACAGAACTGTATGGCTTCTTTATGGACACCATCGAGGAGCATCGTCGGCAGCTGGCAAAGGATCCGTCGCCGACGGAAAGCGATCTTATCTATGCCTACCTGCAGGAGATGAGCGATCGCAGTGCTGGCGGCGAAAGCAGCAGCTTCAACGAGACGCAGTTGGTGATGACCATCCTGGATTTCTTCATAGCCGGCTCGCAGACCACCAGCAATACGATCAACTTGGCCCTAATGGTGCTGGCCATGCGGCCGGATGTCCAGGCGAAGCTCTTCGCCGAGGTGACCGCCAGTGTGGCCGCCGCCAGTTCGGATGCATTTCCTCACTTGAGCCGGCGGGAATCCTTTGACTATATGGACGCCTTCATCATGGAGGTGCAGCGTTTCTTTCACATCACTCCGATTACCGGTCCGCGGAGGGCTTTGTGGCCCACCAAGCTGGGTGGCTACGACATACCCAAGAATGCCACCATTCTGATCAGCCTGCGCTCGGTGCATCTGGACAAGGATCATTGGAAGGATCCGCTCGCGTTCCGTCCGGAAAGGTTTATCGATCCAGCTGGCAAGTGCTTCAAGGACGAGTACTTTATGCCCTTCGGCATAGGCAGACGTCGTTGCTTGGGCGATGCCCTGGCCCGTGCCTGCATCTTCTCGTTTCTGGTCCGGATCGTGCAGCACTTCAGCATTGTGCTGCCGGCGGGCGAGACGCCATCGATGGTCCTGCTGCCCGGGATTACTCTTACGCCGAAACCCTACAAGGTGCAGTTCGTCAAGCGCGCTTAAGTGCATTACCACATTTGACGGTGTCGGGAATATAGGATAAATTTCGATTTGTAGTATTACCCTGAGAAATTCCCGAGGGTTCAAAAAATTAGTTTAAATCTGAAGCTATGATGGAACTATGGGACAAAACTCAAACTATTTAAAGATTCGATTTAAAAGTATTTGGCTTTTTACATACTGAATACTGCATAGTTGTGGTCTAGTTGTTCTTTATTGATGTGTCCTCAAAATTAAATAATAATGTTTCATAATTTAAACGAATTTACAGGCGGCAATTTGCGTAACAAAATCAAATAAAAACATTTCAAGTTATTTGTTATTTGTTATCATTATCGTAAAGTACGTTTGTTTGTTTGTTTGTTTGTATGAATGTATAACAACACCATTTTGGGGGTCTCAACGTAATTGGGCTTAGTGAAGAATATTTACAAACTCAAATTGAGTAAAGCAAAATCATATACATTATTTTGTATAACACATTAAATTAGTACATACGAACTAGGTGAAAGCGATCCTCGCCAGCTGCGGAAAATGCTCGAGTAAGGTCATGATTGGTCCTGGACCACATCGAAAATGATAAAGTTTTAACCGCTGAAATAACACGCAGACGAGTATGTATAACAAAGGGACAAAAACGCGCCGACTGAATGACCAACTTCACTTAAATGCTAGTAGTGACTGCACTTCTCCTGCGGCCGATATTTCGTGCCCGTGCTCTGGCCTCCATTTAAATTCAAGAAGGCAAGCCATCGTTTCCCGTTGCCTGTGTTCTGTGTTTTCTGTGTGTTCAGGACCTCAGTAGGATTCGTTTTTCGATAGTGTTGATAGTGTCATGCCGAATGTGGTGCTAAAAGTTAAAGCCGCTGCTGGGCATGGTGTCCGGATCAAACTCGAACTGCTGGCTGCCCGCCACAGGTGCAACCCGGCTGTCCTCCTCTTCGTTGCCAAAGTACTGCTCGATTATGTAAAACGATTTGTGGTAGATGTCTCGGTTTTCGTGAGCCTGCAGATACTCGATCTTATCCAGACCTAAAACGAAAGTAAAGACGTTTTTAAATTGACATCCCTTTGTTCGCTTTGATAATTTCACTTACCGCCGCATTCCTCGATGGTAATGGCATAGGGATTTGGTCGCGTTTGGAACTTTTCGCCCGCCTTTAAAATGTTTTCCAGAGCATTCAGTGCCACCTGGACGATGTCCGAGTCGACGACGGTCAGAAAATCACACATTGGAGGCACACAGCCCACCTGGACCAAGTAGTTGATCTGCTCAGAGGTTCCGCTGCTGGTGGCATTGGTAATGGCCCAAGCTGCCTCTTTGCGCGTCTTGAATTCTGCCGTCTGCATGATAATCATCAGCTGCGGGAATATGTTGGCACTGATTATGGCCTGGATCTGCTCCCGATTGCCGGCCGCAATGTTCGAGATTGTCCAGCAGGCCTCTTTCTTGATGGTTTCCGCCGACGAGCGCAGGAGGTGGCTAATGCAAGGCAGGGCATTGTAGCCCAGTATCACCTGGGTCTGCTGATCGTCGCCGGTTACTATGTTGCCCACAGCCCGCAACGCGGCTGTGCTAACGTTATGCTGCGGATGTCTGCAACAAAGAAAGAAAGAATCAATTATTGATTTGTTAATTTTCAAAGCAGAAACCAGAACACTCACAGTAGCAGCTCTACTAGGCGACGACAAACGCCCGCATCAATTACAGCCTGGATTTTATCGTTCGGTCCATCCGACAGGTAGCTAATAGCCCAGCAAGTATCGCTAAGCACGTCCGCATCGGTGTAGTCCAGTAATCGTGCCAGTATGGGCAGACCATGCACAATTTTGGCAAAATCTGCGGGCGGGTTTTTGCCGCGGCACAGATTAGACAGTGTCCACACCGCATTCCGGATCATAGTTATGCGATCTGAGTTGCCCAAGACGCTGCAAGAGATTGAACAAATTGTGACACCAATTTAGGAAGAAATCTCCATCATTACTCACTTGAGGAGAGGCATCAGAATGCCGGAGCCGAGCAGATGGTCCCGGCACATTGGCGAGTCGCCGGCTATGTTACCCAGAGCCCACACAGCCTGCTCCTGGACATCGTCGTGGGGACTGGAGAGCAGCTCAATGAAGATGGGCACTGCTCCGGCCTCGATTACGATCTTGGTCTGGTGCGAGGTGCCCGAGGCAATGTTCGTCAGCGTCCAGGCGGCCTCAAATTGGAGCGTGGCATTCGAGCTGTTCCGCAGAAAAGTAACGAACTGCGGCACGATCCCCTTCTGTATGACCTCTTCGATGGGTGGATTGGGATCGCGGGACAACAGTTTGCGGAACTTTTGCGTGGCCTCCAGCTGGTCGCTCTCGCGTCCACTGTACAGCATCTGGATCATCTCCTCGTTTATAACTGATGGCTGTGCTCCGGTTCCGCCAGTTGGTTCGCTCTGGCCGCCCGGAAAATGCGTTGGTCCAGTGCTGCTGTCAGCCATATGCATGTCGCCAGCCTGGAAAGAATGATACTTTGACTTATTGCATATTTGGGACAGAGAATTACCCACCTGTAGATCGTTGCTGGTGCTGCTCTCCATTCCGGCTGAAGTCGAGGATGTGGCCGGCTCGAGGACCACATTGCGACGCTTGAAGAGTTGCTGTTCGCGTTTGGTCTTTCGCAACTGGATGCCCACCTCCTCGCGACGACGCCTCATCTCGGTGGAGTCCAAGGCGGCATTTTTATAGCGCTGCTTGTGGGTGGTTGACATTTCGCCGTCTTAGCAATTTAAAATCTAAAAAAACAAAAGAAACAGTTAAAGATCGGGAATTTTTCGAATGGAAAGTGAATGTTTATGATCGGGACCCAATCCCAAAATGAATTTTAAAACCCGGATATCTTAGCAATTGAAAAAATGAAAAAAAATGGATCAAAAAAGCTATAGATTAACATAAGAGTCTAAGGTTTGTAGTCGCTATAAAGGGTGAAATGGTCTCATGGAAAGTGGCATTCATGACTGGGTTTTCCTATCCAATTCGGAACTTGATTTTGAAACACTGAAACTGCACATTCACTAGGTGATTGCGCTTAAATAATCCTACATCTCTGAGATAATCGAGATTACGTTGTTTGGCTTATATTATGCATTTAGCGCATTCACATTTAATGAACTTTTCAGTTTTCCTGGCAATATGCACAATCACAACACTTTCACATTTCATTGTGTGTGCACACGGCTGGTTTGCGTGCGTGTGTATGGGTGCGGGCTTAGGTCAGCATTACCAATTTCTCGAGTTATTGGATACGCCCTTTACAAGGATACCACCAATCCAGTATTATTCCTCCCACCGACACCTGATTGGAGCGCAACATACCTGTTCCTGCGAATCCTTTCCGCGATTTAATCATGCAAAGAAACTTGAAAATTTCACACGTTTTAAGGAACAGAGCTACCAGACGGTCGGGAATGCAGTGCACACAGCTGATGCGTAATCGATAACGATATCCCCCGATTGCAAGCATTCCAATCCAATTGCAATTCACTTAAATATGAAGGATTCCAAGAAAAAAGTGCGCAAAACAGCCAATAAGCACAAGGAAGTCTCGGATTCTGAGAAAAAGAAAACCATAGAACTGCTGCACGAATACAACGATCTGAAGGATGCTACGCAACTAGTATTGGGAGCCTTGGCGACCCTTAAAAGCGTTCCCATTCGATCGGTTTATGCCACCTACAACCTGCCCGTCGACGAATAAAAATGCGTTATTAATAGTGAAGTCTTATGTACTTGTTGTAAATAACTCAGTATACAGCCAAGTGCATGTAAATGCCTCCTGGTTGGGCAGTTCCATTAGTCTACCACTAATAAATCCATCTAAAACTAGTTATTGCATGTTTAAGGGCCTACTGGCCAGCATGGAAATAGGATCGGCATCGCTCATTGAAGGTCTTGTAGGTGCGCTCCTTGATAATGTCCTCCACATTCAGCTCGGCCTGAAGAACACGCAGCTAAAATGGATATGAGATCAGTTGTTTGTTATGGATGTTGAGCCAACACCTACCTTGCGCTGCTCGGCTTTGAACTGGCTATCAATATCCACATCATCTGGCTGAGCCTCTCGCTTTTCCCTTAGCTGCTTCAGATTGTTGGCCGATATGGTTATGCAACTGCGTATGCTATCTTGCTGCAAGGAGGTATTTATGTAGTATCGGTTGACCCGCGGAGGAAACGTTTAGTGGCGAGTTACCCTGGACAGGTGCGACTGCTGGAGTTTCGAGTACAGATCGCGACAGGTGCCCTCGGTGTTCACCTGACCCTGACCCTTGAACGACTCCGTGGGCAGGGCATTATTCAATGCATATATAATCTTGTCGTCCACATCTCGCATCTTCTTCAGCGCTTCCTGTTTAGGAACTTGTGTCCATGTAATATGCCAGCTATTTACTGTTTTAACCAATTAATAAAGCATACCTGGAAGCCCAGAAAGTCCAAGCACAAAGCCGCCATTGAAAACAGTTAGGAAACTAGTAAAATCTTCTAAAAATAATAAAAACAAACTGCTGTATGTAAATTGCCGGCGCAATGTGCCACACAGCGGCGTTGCCACCTGGGAAAATATACCGATCACTAACTATCGATTATTAAAATACATTAATCAAAAACAAGGAATTTAATTTTCTCACTAGGAATTAGGACCTTCTTAAATGCTTATATGTTATATATTTATATGAATGAAATATATAATACATTAACCGATATCACCATTAAAATATAAAGTGATATTTTTCTGGTTCTTTTATTTTTTAACTGAGTTTCCCATCTTTAATACACAAGGCAAAACCAAGTCAGCTTCTAACCGAAATTTTCAAATCAACTGAGTTATCAATAGGTCGTGTTCCTGCTACTTGTGAATCATCGCTGAGTGATTCTGAGCAAATCAAATCATAACTTAATAAAATAAGCAGAATGGCGCTCAGATTTGAGGATATTCACAACAAAATTGAAAGAGGTGAATACAAACTGGCTGTTAATGACAAAAGCACTCGTAGCACCGTGTGGCGGGTGTACCGCAAAATCGAGAAGGACGATGGCAGCATCCTGGAGCATGTATTATTCTGCGTTGGCTGCCAGAGTTTAATGTCCTTCCCCCACAAGACCACAACGAATTTAAGACGGCACAGGTGCCATCTTCAGTATCTCAAGAATCAGTCGTTTGACGGCTACAACTACAATTCGTCCAGTGAATCTGAATGCAAAAAGAGGAAGGTTCGCTCTAAGGCCATGGAGGAGCAGGAGAATCAGCTGTCCCTATCGGATGAAATGGAATCGAAACCTACTGCTGCCGATATAGCCGCCTTTGTCGTTGGAGTCGCTAGCGGCAAGGACTCCCCCGCAGCTTCATCTCGTGCCCAACTTCCGCACATAGTGCTTCCCCTGGATGTTAGCGGTGCTGAGGAGTCCGACATATTCGCCAAGACTTGGGCGCTCGAATATCGAAAACTCAGCGAGGACCAGAAGTTCTATGCCAAAAAAGCAATAGACGAAATCCTTGTTTTGGGCAGGTTAAGACGTCTTACATTGAATACGGTCCCAACAGCGTAATGGAATAGTTAAGCAGGTTAAACTAGGCTTCCATTTAAGCTAATCCTAATTACTTTGTACAAATTGTATTATTTATTGCACACTAAAAATTCAATCTGCCATATTAAATTATCTCTAAAACTGGTAATGTATTATTTTTTGTAGGTGCTCCGGGCTAAGCAAGTGCAAAATGGAAAGTTATCTCCGGTTTTTGTGTTATAAAATTTTAAGATCTTTTTAACATAGAAAAATATATATATTACTCGTTGAATCATAAGCTTTGGTTTAACAGCATCACAAGACTCTTTAAGGTGAGGTTCATTTTTAAAATAACACTTTCTATATCCACCTTAAATTTTCATAGAAAAATTACATTTAATACCTCAGGTCTTATACTATCGATATTTATTTGAGAAATGCCGATATTTAATGTCATCCCTATTTTGAGCTTTCCTTTGTTGTCATTTCCATTTTATTTATTTGTATAATTTTGAAAAAATGAGTGATCTTAAGAGGCGACCACTGCACGGCGACACGCCCAGGACTCCCCCTGCCTCCCAGGCGAAGGACGAAGTGGACAAAAACAGGTCGTACATGAAGGAGTCGGCAGCCAGCTACGAAGAAGGCACATCTTCAGCCGGCGAGCAAGAAGAAGACGACGAGATCCAGGAAGATTCTGAGTCTCATGATGCCGGCGATGTGTCCCGAAGACGCAGTATTCCAACTCCCAGTTCCATTTTAAACGAGAAGCACCACCCCAGCAACGAAGCCCAAGGAAGCAATGGACTCTATATTTGGTTAGCCTTAGCCGGTGTGTTAGTGGGTTTATTTTTGGTCTACGGATCGAATGTATTTGCGGCGGAAAAGCAATGTGCCTTTGAAGCTCTTCGTGGAAATAAGCCCCAACAGCCAGAGAAGGTCTGGAAAGCCCTACAAATGGGGATCGAGGGACTCATTAACAAGAGGGACAAGCACCCCAGTGTGTTTTTGTTCCTGCATCAGGACCCCAAGCTCCAAACACTGATCGATGCGATTGCTGCCGAGGCTTCTGTGTGTTTTGGTAAGTTAACAAAACCTCGTTAAAAACGAACTTGAACAGTTTGCTTTCGACTTACTAAATGTACCATTTAGACCACATGTTGAAATGGATAACTATATTTTTAGGTTTGAAATTATTCACATTTGTATCCTTTTGTTATTAGAATTTTACGGGTATTATTAATATTTGTATTAAAAATATATATTTAATTTACTTACACTTTACTTTTCACGTACAATCTTCAACAGGTGGTCCTAGCCAACTGATTCACATGAACAAGGAGGATTTCGGCTCGAATATGAATGACTATGGCCTGGCAATTGAGCGGTTTAAGGCAAAGGTCAATGACGGAAAGGTTTTCCTAATAGCAAATCTTAACGAAGTAAGTCTTAATGTGTGGGTAGTTTTTTAAATGATCTAAGCGCAATGTAATTCACAGATCGCACCGAATGGAGCTCGGGCTTTGCACACAATCTGTGATACCTACAGCCCAATCGTGGAGGATACCGTCATCTTTCTAACGCTCCGAACATTCAACACTTCTGCCGTTCCGAACTCGGTAAAACTGGCCACCGACACTCTGTACGATCTGTGGGGCGAGGAGTTGCGGGACAATGAGCTCGATCCCCTGATTACTCGCGTTACTGATCAGGTGCTCCACTTGAGGGGCAGTAGTTAGGTTAAAACACATAGCAGTACTGAAGATGCCCAAATACTTGGCGGTCAGCAAGCTTAAAGCTCTAATTTCAAGGATTAGCTAGGCGGCCATCGATTTAATATTCATTTTCCAGAAATATTTTCTGTTCTGCAATTGGTTTTAGCTCAAGAAAATAAAAATCTCTTAAAGTACGGACGTTGTATGACCTCTCCACAGCTCAACTAAAAATGTAAGAAGGCTGCAGATCATACCGAAACACCAAAGCAGAATTAGGCCAATGATGTTGTCAATGCCCAGTTTGACGGGTCCAATATCCAGGTTCAGTTTCTGCGAAGCCACAATGCGATTTTGGCGACGTGCGTTCATGTAATCCGCGGCGATTTTCCACTCCCAGAATTTGTCAAGGCCTGATGAGTGCCAGGCAAGGATAAAGTCGTTATAGGCACTCAAATGTGGCCAAAGCCTAGGAACAAATGCTACTGTGAAGGCAAAGTAAATGTCATCTACCATAAGCTTCAGGTGATCCAAAGCGTCGTTGGCTAAGAGCTCTGTGTTTCCCAAATGGCCAAACTGCATACGCTCCACCACAAATCCCATTTGCTCCGTGTGCGAATAGGCGGAAATCTGAGCGGCATCATACACCCTGTATTGCTCCATCAAACCAAGTAGAACTGGCTGTAAGTATTTGATATACATAATTTAATATGACAGATCTTTTTCCAGCCTCTAACTCTTTACTTACGTCCGCTGACCGTTCGTCAATGGTGGTTATCCAGGCCTGTGAAGTCCCTGTCCAAATAAGCTTGTGGTCGAAGAGACGTTGCCGAGAGTCTGCTGCCTCCTCCAGAGTGGGTAATGTCAGAATGGCCGCCAGTCCGCCGCTGTAGACGGTTGTTAAGATAATGTCGATCATGTAGCTTGCAACCAGAACTGTTCTCAGAGCATACGAGCTGGTCACGTAGCTGGTGCTCTGGTTAACGAACAGTTTTAGAATACTAATGCAACCGAACCGCAGGCTTTCGATCCACGAATTGAAAAAGTTACTTGAAGAGTGCTCCCAACGACGGGTCACACAAAGGGCCACACTTTCAAGCAGCAAACAGAGCATCACGCACATCCAAAGGACGGCCTGGAAAGGTCGGAGCAGGAGGGTCCAGCTGATTAGGCGATTGGGAGCGGGAACTAGGCAGGTGACTCCAGATCGGCCTAGAAAGTGGGTCATATCCATAAACTCATATGCCTCGTACCTAGTAATAAAAGTAAATATTATAGTTTAATTCTTGTTTAAAAATGTAGAAATTTTACCATAAGTACATGCCACCTATGCCGTAGTCGTTTCGTCTATCAAGAACCATCCCCACAAGACCATAACCCGAGGCATTTGGAAAGATGTCACCCCAGTCGGCAGTTTCGGCTGTGTATGAAAACATATTAAATCGAATTTTGCTTCAGTTAAGTTCTATCACCTACATGTGTCCACCTGAATGGTGCAGTTATATAGTTCGCAGAATATAATCATTAGTCGCACTTCTGTACCATCGATGGTTACTTCCGTTGTATTTTCGGAGCGATCATAATAAAACGGCTGTTTTTTCTGGCTCAAAGAAAAACGATTCAATATCACTTGAAATGCTCTTTAAAAACAAACTAAGAACTCACATAATCCAATAGCATGAAAGGTTTATAGTCAAAGATGCCAATGACTACCTCTCGCCCTTGAAGGTTTCGCATCTTGCCCAACATTGTACTCTTCTTCCCAACGTCCCTGGTAATCTTCTCCTTCGCGGCATCATATTTTTGAAGTAGATCAAATTCAACAGGTCCCGGGATTGGACCAAAGTCTCGTGGACCGACAAATCGGTTTGTTTTAATATCGAAAGTGCTTGAGTTCAGGTTTTCGGAGGTTATCAGTAAAATATTTGGTTGATCTGCTATTATAAATTAATAATGGCAATCCAATTCTTTGAATTTAGTGGATATTTACAACCTTGGAATATGTACCCATTCAGATAGTCATCTTTTTTTTCTACCAGCTCTTCAGTGTAAACAAAAATAAACCGATTTTGCAGAGATCGCCAAATGGAGTAGATACTGGCGTAATAAAAAGATCTTGTGAACTCGGGAATCTGCTCCTGAAATGCTAAAAAGTTCTTAGATAAAAAGAAGTGAATTTAATTATAGCAGTTTTTGTCCACAGAAAATGTATTTGAAAACCAACAAAATTGTATTAATCTATCGCCTATATCTTAATTGTATTATATTAAGATATAGGCGATGCGCAAAGTTGTCAAAGCTTTTATAAAAATTACTCATTCGACACGTAAGCCAGCTTGAATTTTGTGCGAAGAAATCTTTCTCCCATCTGTCAACCTATTGTCAATATGTCAACTTATTGGTCGTGATTAAATATGAGTCCAAATATGGATAACAACAAAACAATTTTTTTTGGTTGAAAACCCGAATTTATTTTTTGTAACCTGGATAAGAATATATTTTTAATCAGAGGCAACAGTACGTATGAGTGATAAACTTAAAGGCCAACAAATTTTTTTCGCGAACTATAAGCTATAATCAGAAAACCAGTTTATTTTTTTAGAAAACCTAAGGGCTTCGCGCAAAAATTTTTTAGTTTTTTTTTTAAATTATTGATTTAAATTTTTGTCAATAAACACAGAACGTATGAGTGATAAGCTTTAAAGGCAATGCTTCAGATACTAAAACGTACTTTTCTAAAATGTTTTATATACAAAAAAGTGTATATTGTTACAAAATAAAAAACTTGTTAATAATATCAAATTCAGAAATTATCCTATTTTGTTTCAGGGCGGGAGTTTTATATGGAACTATCGTTTTATAAATGTAGGGGGCTTATCTTCATAAAGTACTCCAGCGCAAAATATATCGTCAGCTGCTCCGTTATCGATAGCCAGTCAAATAAAAGAAAATGGAAAAACTGTTTGCCGCCGAACGGTAAAATAAATAAATAAGAAAACTTAAAACATAATGGAAAAGTTGGGGTTGGGGTGTCTATTCGGCGGCAAACCCCAGGAAACGAGTAAGGGCCCCAGCATCCTAGATCTGAACTACGAGTGCTACTTGGAGATTTTTGCACATCTGAGTGCGCTGGAGGATCGGCTAAATCTGGGCCGCGCCCACCCTCTTTTCCGGGATGTGCTAAGGGACGTTTTGCGAACGCGCTACGGAAAAATCAATGCACGAATACTGAAAACCATCCCGGACTGGGAGTTCCTGCTACGGCTGTGCGGATCGGAAGTGTCCAGATGTGAGGTGCCCCACGGCCGCTGGGACGAGCCCTTCACCTACCCCTTCCTGGACCTGCTCGGGCGCCACTGCCCCAATCTGCGGCAGGCGGTTATCATATTCATGCACGCGGTCACAGCGACGCCGCCGGAGATTCCGGACAGGGGCAACATCATGCAGCTGCTCCTGGAGCTGCCCAGTCTGATCGATCTCACTCTGATAGATGCCAGATCTGCACAGCGTGAGTATACCTATATAAAGCTCTTAAGTTAGTACAAGCTTCTTCATTTAAATAATAAATTTCATAACTCATAACTCATTTCATAACTCAAAATTCACTACTTAAAATATAACTTTGGAAGGTTTCTAAAGAAAACTATTAAAACTTTTAAAAGTTTTCATTTTTTCCATGAAGTGTATACTATTTTTTTTTTTTTAATTATAGCTTATATAATTCAAATTAAAAACATAGGGTTTTAACTTTTGTTTGTATTTCTTTTAACCTATCATAATTTAAAATATAAAAGTTTGAATCGTTATTATTACTTCGGTTTTTAGAAAAATTAATTTGTTTCTATGAGTCTGTGAGAAATTAAAATAATTTAATATTTTTAAAAATTGCTCAAAAATTTAAATTAACTTTGGAAGGTCCCTAAAGAAGACTATTAAAACTTAAAAAAATATAGCTTTTTCCATGAAGCTTATACTAGCTTTTTTTATATTAATTATAGCTTAAATATATCGAGTTAAAAAAATAAGGTATTAACTTGAATTTGTATTTCTATTAACCTATCAACATTTAAAGTTAAAAAAGTTTAAATCGTTATTATTACTTTTTAGAAATTTAATTTGTTTTTATGAGTCATTAAGAAATTTAAATAACTTAGGATTTTTAAAAACTAATCAAAAATGTAAATGTAAAAATTCATTAGGAAAATTTTAGATTATATGTACACCCAAAAAAGACTGTAATAAAGGTTTAATTAGTGTATTTTTAAATCAAACTACAAATAGTATTAAAAAGTATTAATACTTAATAATGTAACCCCTATAATTTTTAGTTTAACTACTACACCGAAAAGTCTTAAATTGTAGACTAAGGGCCTATTTTTAAACCAGATAAGTTTCACTTTAATACACTCGTGGTATTATTATTGACACATGTTGTGTACCCAATAGTTTAAAATTTATGTAAGAATAGTTTAGTTTATATGACAAATTTACACACCGCCTAAGGGAGCTGTTTTTCCCCTTTTTTACAACAAAGAATAAGTCTAAGTAAACATTGCAGAGGAGCAGTTGCGGCATTTTACTAAGCTGGAGACCCTGGACTTGGATGGCGTCGACCCGAACCTGAGTAACGTAGCCTTCCAGCAGATGTTTGAGAACAAGGAGAGCGTGGTACGACTCCTGCTGAACTTCGGACGAGATCGGAGACGATCGCATCAGGTGCCCCAGTTGGCGGATAAGTTACCCAGCTTGGAGCACCTCACGCTGGATAATTTTGATGTCAACTTTTCCGACCTGGGCGACTTCAAAGCCCTGCAATCACTGCGCCTGATCGCCCGTGGAGTGGCGGAAGTTAGCAATGACTTCTATAGATCGATAGCCAGACGCGCTGGTAGCCTCCAAAAGCTGCAGCTCTTGTCGGTTCGTGTGAGAGGCGACCAAGTGCATCATATTCTGTCATTCAGCCGACTGAGAGCTCTGGACTGCGACAATTGGCCGGCTCAGTCGGTGGACCAGTTGGGTCAGTTGACGGAGCTCGAGTGCCTGGTCCTGGATTGCATTGACTCGCCTGCGAACGCAAGTCGTCAACTCTCATCCCTGCTAACAAGCTGCCTCAAGCTGAACCACCTAAAACTGGGTAAGAGATGGCAGATGCCCATCGCGGATGCAAATAGGTTTCTAGAAAAACTATCAGCCATACGAAAGGATCCCAACAACAAGCTTCTGCTTACCTTTGACTTCGTCAAGACAGCGGACTCTCAAAAAAAGGTAATACATATTTCACTATAAACTAAATGGATCTACTATATTACGCTAATTTCTTAGTTGAAAAATATTTTAATGGATCTTGACCACTTGCGGGTGTCCTTTGATGGAGCCACCTGTCATCATTGTCAGCCAGACACCCACTCCAAATGCGATACCATCTTTGACTAGTCATCGTCTCCATTAAAAACTCACCTCACAGTGGGACTTCTCTATGGCGACAGTCAGCCTAAGAGTCCAATCGTTATAGGCGATTCCCTTTCCCTCAAGCTCATCCCGTTTTCTTTTGTAGTCATACACATCTTTGTCTTCTGAATGGTTTAACCATCTCTGCGAGTCCATCATGATTAATGGTAGCGGTTCAACCGTGTCCAGACGAAAGTCGAATGCAGGATGCCACAAAATACAAGTGGCATGAGAATCCGTAAAGTATTGCTGAGCTAATTGTAATTATTAGTGTTTTTTTTATTGTTCAATATATCAAAACTTACCAAGAAAACTAAGAACAGTACTCCAGTAATTAGGCTCTACCAATAAATCGCCCATTTAACAGCTTTTTTTATCCGAAAAATACAATTTTTAAAAAGTTTCCTATAAATAATCTTAATCCTTGAAAAAACACCTAAGAATTATTCAATATACTTGCAGATAGTAGATAGTCTGAATTATTTAAATTTCATGTTAATTGTTTAAATATTTAAATCACTCGATTTTTGGTCAAATTTCAGTATTTTCTAAATTTTTTAACGATTTATGAATTAATTTAAACACTTTTACCTATGTAAGTACCTGATAAAGTTTTTCTTGCCAAACGGGCCCACAGGCGATGCAAAATGACTCGAAGTCTTGGAATAATATTAAGGAAAGGTGTACGTTTTGCAGTTGATAATAATAGGTCTTCCATACATTTATTATTGAACAAATTAAGTGCATGCACAACTAGTAAAACGCATTGTCAAACTGTTAAAATATTTATTGTTATAAATATGTTTATCCTTTACGGTAAATATTAAACAAATACTAATTTCCATATTAAATTAGTTTTGAATTACAAACTAAGAATAAATGGGCGGGGAAAAAAGGGGAAAAGCGTAAAGAGGCCTAAAAACTCCCATTTCCTGGGGAGAGTAAATAGAGATACGAATAGCTGGATATCCAATGTAGATTTGCTCGGGCTTTGATCCCAGGATCTTGTCACTTATGGTTATGCATTCCACGACTGTCCTAAGCCTTAACGCTGCCAATGCCGTTGCCCAGGGACTTCATCAGCTGGTAGCACTCCTTCAGCTTCCGCTTATCGCCCACCTTCTCCAGGGTCTTGGCCGCCTCGGCCAGCATGCCAGCACGCTCACCCGGGGAACTGAGAAGTGCCGGCGGCAGATACTTGCAGGCCACGTACATGGCCGATGCCCGCTCCCGCTCCCCGCCCTCGAAGTTCTGGTGCCGCCGATCCTTGCTGCCGCAGAAGATGGACGAGCTGGCGTAGCGCGACCGCAGACTCCTGTCCAGAAGCTGTTGCGTTGGACACGGTGAGGCGCCGGCCATCAAACGACATACCGCCTCGTACAAATATATCCTCGATTGGGCGTTCTGCAATGTTTAGTTAATAAATAGTGTGTTAATAGGAACATAAGCAAAAGGGGATGTTTCAGAAATCGCCAAAACAATATTTATAATGGCGTCCCAGAATATGCAATGAAAAATAGGAATGTCGCTTTTCGTAATGTACCCATCTCAATATGGATTTAAAATAATTATTTTATTGCATACTTTTAGTCGCTCCTAAAAATGTTTTCAAAAACTTAGCACTTTCGATCTTCTAACTATTGATGAAAATGGGCAGTTTTCTAAGCCGTTTTTCCAACGTTTTCTTTGACTTTTACATTAAATTTTAAAATCTATTTTGCAAGATACTAAAATTTACTTTTGAATCTTAAAGAATAATACCCAAAACCGTGAACAATTAAAATTAATTAAAAATAAACCCATTGGGTATCAAATTTCGAAAACCACTTGAAAAAGTATAGATAACGTACCGGTATATTTTCCACAATGCTGCGCAAAGAATTCAAATCGGTCTGGAACTTTTCGAGCACATCACCGGGCACTTGGTAGAAGCCATCATCCTCTATATTCATGTGCTCCAGTTCCCACAAAGCAGTCCGAGTTTCGAGCAACCAATCGCAGGTGAGCAATTGGAAAAGCTGCGAAATGGGAAATGGACAAAATGAATATGGGTTATTGAATTCCAGGCGACCTTTGCCAGCGACGGTCGACGATGTTTGTGAAATGCACAGAGCTTGCACTGAAGTTGTATTGCCTGAGGCAAGTGGGACAGACAATGCGACTACAATGCACCTGCGTGTCATCTCTGGAGGAAGAGTCTGCTGGCATCCGGTCACCACTGGCTGGTGTATTAGGGTGCAGTCTTTCTTACCAACTTTATACCCTTGGCGTTGGTGATCCTGTTCACAGTAAGACACTCTTGAAGCTTAACACTTGACTCGTTGCACAGGTTGTTCACCGAGTGCTTGAGGCTCTTGTCCAGGGCGTTACCATTGTTCCTGAACAAAATCACAGTACATTATTGACTGAACAACCATTCTGCAAGTTCACTATTCTCACTCACATTAATAGTATCATCTTGGCTCGGAGCACCGCATGCAGGGCCCGGGGCAAATGATCGTTTTCACTGCACTGCTGCAGCTGGACGGGCATCTGCTTGATGCTGTCGTGCAGCTGCTCGGCCAACGTATCTTCGCCAAGGAGCCAGTGCACAGCGATCTCCAGGACATTCGCCCACCACACCACATTGGTATCGCGCTCATCCTCATCGGCCCACAGGGTGTCCCTCAGCAGCGACGTGTACTTAAGAACATTGCTGACGATAGTGCCGCTGTGCTGCTGTTGCTGCAGTTGCTCCGTCTCGCCACCGGCTGTAGATGCGGGTAACCCGCCCGACTTGTGACCAGCTCCCACCAGACACTGAATGGCCTTGAAGAGCAAATGCTCGCGGTATTGCTGCGGGAATAGAAAAAACTAGTTAGTTTTGAAACGTCTAAAGGTTTAGTTAAATGCAAGAGCACCTTTATAACGTGGGCAGCGGGGTCACAGGGATTCCGAAGACGCGTGAAAAAGCCATCCTGCTCGCCGGAGTCGCTCAGATCGTAGCTGAAGACGTGCGTGCTGCAGTAGCGATATCCATAGGCACTAAAGGCCCAACGCAACTCCTGCGTTTGCTCGGCAGCCCGGGTGCGACCGCATTCCTGGCGCGCACGACTCATGTAGTAGCGGGCGAAGAGCTGCTGCAGCCACTTGGGCGCGCTGCGCTTCATTCGCAGCGCCGTCATCACGTGGATGCAGATGGTCTCGCGCGGTGTCAGCAGATTGTGAGCCACCTCAGCCATGTTGCTGGCAAAGAGCGCCATCATGATGCCGTTGCCGTCACCGCGACTTCCATTCCCAGTCAACTGCAGTTGATTTAGTCGATTGAAGAGCAGTGCCAGTTCCCGCGCTGAAGCCAGCGCCTGTTTCCGGCTGGCGGCGTTGCTGAACAGTCCTCCTGTCCGACGCGACAGTACCCGGCCCAGCCAGAGGCGGTGGAAGAGGAACCGCAAGAACTGCCATGTGGTCTGCAGGTAACACTCCAATCGCGATGCAGGCAAACTCAATCCGAACATGTGCAAACAGTTCAAGTAACTGGCGTACGCCTGGGCTGCTTGTCCTTGGGCAAAGTGGGAGTCGGCCCGCTGCTTGTGCTGCCAGTAGGCATCCGTTTGGGCGTCCAACTGCGGATCTCCGTATACCAGCAGCTTCACCAGACAGCCGAGCATCAGTGTCAAGTTCAAAAGCCATATCCATGAGCTCTGCTGCCAGCCAGAAAAGCCTTCACCTAATGCAAATAAAGTAAAGCTATAGCTAGGGAAATATAAAATATAGTAGCCTAACTAACCATCTACGTCGTACGAGAGAATGCGCCTCTGACCGCTCAGCTCGCCCATGCCGTCATTGCTGCCAAACTGGCCACGTTGGAGGAAGGTTTTGAAGGGATTGACGGCCAGGATAGCAAACATAAACATACAGAGTCCCAGGCGGGAGTGGGTGGCCATGCCGCGCATGGAGCTGGGCACCACAAGCGGTTCATCATTGCTGCTGCTACCGCTGCTGCAGCTGGCGGTGGATCCGCCGTAGGGCGACGGCGGCAGCGAGATGTCCGAGTGCAGGGGCGAAAGCGAAGGGTCCGATACGTCGCTGCGCGGCGGTGTGAGTCCAGCATCCGTGGCGATGGTTGAGCAACTCACGCGACGCTTCTTGGAGGCTCGTCCTGGCCGGGTGCCCAGCTGCAGGAGATCCTTGACCTTGGAGCCGTCGCGGGCCATCAGTTCCCGCTGCAGGCGCTGCAGCTCTGCCTTCAGATCGTGCGTCTGGCGCTGCAGATCCCGGATCTTGTCTATGGACTTCCGCAGCACTGCGGATTTGTTCAGCTTGGCCTGCTCGCCCACCACCAAGTTCTTCAGCTCATTGATCTTGTCGTTGATCGAAGTGCGGTACCGCCGTTCGATGGCGTTGTGCGCGGAGCGCTTCACCTCCTTCACCTTGGGCTGCACCCGGTTGATGGGCACCTTGCCCTGGACCTGGTCCATGGCGCCGGGAGATGGTGCCAGGGGCGCCACTCTCACCTTGCTGGCCCTGCTCGACGGTGGAGCCACAGGTGGAGAGGTCTTCGGACTGGCCACGGTTGTCGTCGTCGTCGTCGTCGGGGATTCCATCATCACGGGCATGGCTGAGGCGGAGGGCATTAGTGCGGGACTCGTGGCCATTGGCTGGGCGTACATGATGAAGGGTTGCGGATGCGACTGCAGGGTCAAGGGAGTGGCGGCTGCAGCAACGGGTTGCATGACATTCACACTCTGGGGCGACGACTCCGCTGGCGGCGTGGGCGGGGAAATGGAGCGGTAGACAAAACTACTGCTCATAGTTGGCGAGTAAACCGTGCTGTTCGTCGGCAATCGCTGGGTATCCATGTGGTGGACGGTGGCCGTCGGTTGGGTGGCCTTCAGGAGAGCCGGCTGCAGCTGCTGCTGTTGCTGGGGGAGATTGTAGTTGGAGGCCATGAGGGGATCCGGCTTGTAGACGAGCAACGGAGGCTGCTGCTGTTGCTGCAGCTCCTCCTTGATGTGCACTGGCGAGGAGTGCTCGCTCTTCACGTGCGGCGGCTGCTGCTCCACAGCCGGCGTTTGCGTTGGGGGATGCGTTCGCGGCGGCGTCTCGTCAATCATCAGCATGTCGTACATCTGTGGCTGCAGGTCCATTTCGTTCAGGAAGCTGTCCAGCATGTCCGAGTGCAGCACCTCGTTGATCATGTCGAAGGCGTCCTCCGGCTTGAACAAATCCATCGATTCGTCCAGCGGAGCCTCCATAAAGTTCATCGGATTTGTGTCCATCGCTTATGCTGCTGATGAAAACAACAATAACGTTGTGCAATTAAATACTGGCGGGCCCACGTATGTACATATGGGTTTGTTTATTAAATTTCTAAGCGGCGCAATTACACAGCGAAAACAACAGTGGGACGAGTCGCGAGTTTAAGTTAAACAAAATTTTATATCCTATTTGAAAAATTTCTAAATTTAAATGGAAATTATTTAAATCAATTTAATCGAAAGTTTTCAGAATTGAGTTAGTTAAACAAATAACAATATGTGTGAATTTTAATATATTTCAGTCCTGTAAGCTTTTTTCATTGAATGTGTCCCACTGTGCCCTGTACACACACACACGCGCTAGCGGGAAAGCATGCGTAAGCGCTTTCAGCCAATCAGAGGGCTCGACCGGATCATACGATGTTTTTAGTGACGCCACTCAGTCTTTGGCCGCTTTAAAAGAGCATTTCCGCAGCCTGGAACGCTTTTCCGAACGCTTTTCGCGAAAAATGAATCACTTGTGTTTCTATCTTCCTAACCACCACAACGAAAATCTAACCTTTATCACCTTTTATCTTTTTTAGTTCACTTTTGCTTTTGTTTTATCCATTACTGCATTTAGTGCTTGGCAATCCGGTGTGCCTTATGTTTACAAGTAATTGTTTAACACTTGTTGTTGTTCATGTTTGTTTTCTGTTTTTCACGAATATATTTGCAAAATTAATAAACAATTGTGCTCGTCTCCCGACGAGAAAACAAGAACAATTGGGGCTTTAAGCTTATCAGCTGTGTGAAGAGCGTTGCCAGATGCTGACGATAGGCCGATAACTCCGCACTTGGCGGTGCCGACATATCGATTAATTTAGAATCGAAGATGGTCGCACTGTTGTCTTAGAAACAAAATTTAAAATTTTAATTTGATATACATAGATTGAAAATGTGTTCGCCAAAAATCATTACAACATTTCCCTCCGTTCTTTTTCGAATTGTAACATAGTAAATGTAGTAGTAGTTTAGTTTTATATATTTTTCATATTTACAATCTTACAAAATTTGTATAGATGTACCCATTTCTTCCGAACGGTGTAATTAATTATATTTGAGAAAATGTTAAATAATATTATCCTTGTGTTTTTGTGAGTACAATAAACTAGTATTGTTTTTTGTTGTATTTTGAAACATATAACTGTAAGTGTAGTTTTTGAAACTATTTTGTATTTTCACTTTGATCTTTGTGGAGATCTAAGCAGTCAACCCACAGGAACTACGGGTTCCAAACTTTAATGAAAACTGCAAAATTATAAAAAAAAAGGAGTGCAAACAGGTAAGCTTGTTGTTTGGATACGTTTATTTCTGAATGGTCACAAGGTGTACTGACAAGTTAAGGGAAAACTGAGTTAAATTACGGCTTCTATGGGGGGAAGTGGATGTAGACAAAGATATAACATATAAGGATCGTTAGTTCGTTGATGATCGTATTCGTATTCATATTTCTATTCGTATTCGATTCGTTTCCGATGGGTCTAAGATCTGGGATCTTGGATCTTCGATTTAGACAACATTGGTGTGCTCGTCGCGGTGGAAGATCTTGACGTCCACGAACTTGAAGTTGTGCACATCGAAGTAGTAGTCGTGCTTCACCGGTCGGTTGAAGGGGAAGCCGAAGGGCAGGGCGTCCACGTAGCGGGAACCGTGTCCCACGCCGCAGCTGACCACCGGATCGTAGCCGGTGAACTGGGCCACCTCGGGCTGATGGTAGGGGAAGACCATGTAGAAGAACTGGAACATCTGGCCGCCCTTCTTGCCGCGCGGCAGCATCATCCTGTTGGGCACACCGCAGTGGGCCTCCGACTGGTCCAGCTTGAACTTGTACTCGCTGTTGGTGGCGTCCATCAGCTTCTGGTAGAGCTCCAGATAGGTGGTGCGGTCGTTCACCCAGAAGGAGAAGTCACCGCTGGCCCGCTTGATGTGATTAACGCCGGCCTCCAGATGCACCTTGAAGTGCTCCAGTTCGAAGAAGTTCTGATAGTTGTACTCCAGCGGAATGGCATGTCCATGCTCATCGTACTTGGGTCCAATGAAGACCTTCACCACGGCATCCTGGGCCTTGTCAGCGCTCACGTCCAAAGTGAACTCGAAGGGCTTGTGGTTAAGGCGCTGCTGGCGTGCCTTGATCACATAGCTGGCACCCTTGTAGTGCGAGTTGCGACCGAAGAGGTACAGCGGATCGGTGGCACCCTCCACCGAGGTCTCCACATTGACGGCATTGCTGATGTCCGAGTCGAAGTACTCGAAGTAGGTGGTCAGGCTCTCGGGCATGTGCACGCCGTCGATCTTGACGCCCTCGAAGGTGTAGTCCTTCTTCGTGTACTCCGGATATGTCTCCATCAGGTGCCAGTAGTGGCTGACCAGTGTCTTGTACACCTCGTAGAAGATGGGATCGCGCAGCGAAGTGTCGTAGTGCATGAACAGACCCGGGAAGCTCTCGTGTCCGCTGCCGTAGTGGTGTCCCTCATTGACGATGTACCGATAGAGCTTGTCCAGACTGCCATAGAACTTCTTGTCCACGCTGTCCGCATTTCCCTGGATGATGTTGCCCAGCACATTGATGGTCTCCATGTCGAACTTGTCGTTCTTGTGGATCCAATCCATCACGCGCTGCGTGTACATCTCCACGTACTCGATGTGCTCGTAGTTGTCGCCATGGTAGAAGTTGTGGTGGTTCTCACGATGCCACTGGGGCACTCCGTAGTAGGTGCGCAGGTTGCTGGCATAACCGGACTCGGTGGGCACATACATATTGAAGGCGGGCACCTCGCCGAGATCATGGGACAGACGCTCCATGTACCAGCGGGCCAGCAGTTGCCAGTGGACGTACAGGTAGAGCTCACCGCGACGATCCTTATTGAGGACGTGCTCCTCGCCACCCTTCGTCCAGAACGGATAGTCCAGGTTGAAGTAGTAGTAGAAGGCGTTGAAACCCACATCCTCCAGGTAGTAGGCCAGATCGTGGTCGTAGTTGAGGGCACCGTGGGCATTCGAGTAGTTGGTCTTGATCACCACGTTGTAGATGTTGTCCATCTGCTTGACGTGATGGAAGCCGTGCATCTTGTAGTGCTCGGCCCACTCCAGGGCCTGGCTGTCAAAGTAGCTCCACGGATGGATCTCGTAGTGGGCCGGCAGGACCACGCCCTGCATGTCGTCGCGGAACAGACTGGCGATGGTGAAGGCGTACACGAACAGCTGCTTGTTCACATGCTGGCGGGCCCAGAAGACGGCATGCTGGAAGGTCTCCCAGTTCTTGGCGAAGTAGAAGAGGCGCACCAGACCCACCGCGTACTCCTCGTGCTTCTCGTACATCACCGACCAGGCCATGTCATCGGTGAAGGGCTCGTGCTGCCACAGCTCGAAGAAGAACTCCAGCATCTCTGGGTGCACATAGTCGGTGACGTGCTCCCACGGCTTGTACTCCACGAAGCTGGCCGCAAAGGGGCTAACAAAGACGTCGTCCTGGTAGATGTGCTGCATGATCTGGAAGACGAACTGCTGCTTCACCAGAAAGTCCTTGTCCGCCACCTTGGAGTCCAGGTGCTTAGCCTGGCCGAGAGTGGCCAGCAGAGCCACCGTTAGTAATGCGATCGCCGTCAACGACTTCATCTTGTCGAATCATACTGCTGCAGTGCTTGGGGCCCGTATTTATACCCCGGCCACCGAGATCCGACGATTGCAATGCGGCCAACGACCGGTCGCATCCGTAGCCTTGACACTCCGCCGGATCTGATCGACCCCTGGAGCCGAAAATCGCAATTGCTGCATTCCATAAATTGCACGCGATAAGGTCTCCGATTAGGTAGAGATTCGCATAACAAAAGACACTATCTAAATTCGAGAATAACATTTGGTTCGTTGCTAAAGCTGTTTACTAGGCGATGGCATTTCAATTTACTCATGGAAGTCAAAGAAAAGTCAAACTCTCAGGCGTTCTTTAGTTGGTACTTAAATTTGAAAATATTTGAAGTGTTTTTAATCCATAAAGATAAAACGGCTGATATTATTAGCTTACAAAATAATGTTAAGGTTTTGATATTATAATTTATTATAACTATATGCATCTTTAGCTGTTTTATACAGGGCTTAAAACCGAATCTAATATCGGTTTTGGTTACTGTAACGGTTGTAATCAATATAACTATTTCAATTGCGATTTTGTATTTGGTAATCATTTTTTGTTTATTTTTCTATTTCTTTTTTTCAATGATATGCATTGTGAAAAAATCCTTTAAGAGAAAATTCCTTGCTGGATTTGGCATATTAAATAGTTAAGATGTATCGGTAACGCTTATTCTGATTATATATTTCGGTGTATATTTATCCGGAAACGTTAGGCAAAAACATATTATATAGGTTCGGTTCACGTTTATGGATTTGATTCGGTTTTACCGGTTAAGGATATCGGTTACGAAACCGGTTTGATGCCCTGATATTATATATATATGTTTTAAAAAAATTTAAATCATGATTTAATAGGTATACGACTTAAATAATTTAATTAATATTTATACCGTTCACATTTTTTTACTGTGTAAATACTTTTATTTTTATAAGTTGGTATTCGGACTCGATGTTTTTGATTTTCCACCGTTCAACGTTGTGTTCAAGGATTACGTTGTGAAAAGATCACCTGGCAATTAAGGTGTTACTAGGCAGATATTTGATAAGCTTGCAGTCGGCTTTGTTTTGCGGGGTCGCCGAGTGTTCAGGCGCATCTTTATCAATCGATGCTAAAAATGGAATACCAAATTGCAAACAAGGAGCATTATTCATGTTGCTGGGACAACAAATCGGGCAGACAACAAAGAACAATGGGCCATCGAAAGACCCATAGTCCAAACCAGAACATATCGTTATATAGATCCCCCCTTACACCTGTGGCTCCCAGCTCAAAGGTCTTCACTTAGACTCATCTATATAGCTACAGATAACGATGCAATCTAATACTCTCTACGGTTGGATTCACATGCATTTAGAAAAGTTAAATAGGTATGTAACAACTAAAAAATATAATTTTTTATTTAGAACACTTCTGATCACAAGACCACCACAATTCATCGGTAGAAATTGCAGTGTGTCATCCGATCGACTTAATTTTATAGCACTTTTTGAATAGTATGGTCCTCAATGGCGACCATTGCGGAGAAGTTTGGATTGTGGTATGCTGTCCTTCCTTTTGGGGGAGGAAAAAGTCTTCCAACATGCCGCAGTAGCGGTCACCATTGACGGTTATGGCGGCTCCTGATTCGTTATCAAAGAGAAACCATATACCGCACGAAATAGTCACTCGTTGTAGATGCATTGGGTTCTCCAAGACGAGGTGGAAATGAGAAGTGAAAAATGCCTTTTTTTTCGGACAAGCGCTCTTTGGCTCGTTGCACAAACTGAGAAAAAGGACGATTCAATACAAAAAAATATTTAAAAATTATCGACCTTTTTTTTATATGTTTGTTATGTTGTATAATAAAGCTGAGTTATAGGCTTTTGATAATTTGTATTCCTTAATTTTATTACATTTCTTTTGATTTTTGGTTTCTGGTATTCTTATTAACAAATTTGTATTAAGAGCCTTTTAAAACTAAAACTTTTGATGAATTTATGAAAAATATCCATTGCGGAGCATATTACTGTCAGAGTTATTTGGCGGCTGTATTCGTGGCAATCGACGGGCGACCTCCCGATTCTGGCCTGGGGTTATATTCAGCACATCTCGTGGGTGCTCCGCCTGGTGGCTTTGGCACGAGGCTCGTGGCTCCGGAGATCTATAAAATTCCGTGTTCCTCCGACGTGGATACATCTCGCAGGTGTTCAAACACTACAGCACGATGATATAAACCATAAGTCCTCAGATATATTCAAATAACTTACTGGTGGATTGAAAGAGTCACTCATTTCAAAGCTCTGTTAATAAAGTTGCATTAAAAATTACTTTACAAAATCTTTTTAACAATTTGTTTCTGTAAATTTAGAAATTTTAAAAACAATTTCGTCCCGTTTTTTTTTACGACACGTTACTTCAAACAATTCATGCTAAACTAGTTTATACTCTTTTATATTACTTTAAGTTCAAATCAAGGTCTACTTTGATTTGATTTGTTAATTTTATTAAGTTGATTATAAAATGTAATTCGTTTGCTTAATGTACCATAAATTAACTAATTGTGATTCCGGTTGTGTTCCACAAGTAATAAAATGTGTTATCCAATGATTCTTAAGCAATTCTAAACGCAAGGGTATTTCAAGATTCGTCGGGTCAAAGTGAATATTGCAGCGTCTTTCACAATGACTTTAAATGTTAGACGCGATTATGCAGATTTAGAACAAACAACACCTTATCAGCATACGTATTCATTAACCCATAATTAAGTTCAGGTGATTAGATTATCAACCCCTCTATTATAACTTTCATCAGAAGTTTGCAACGCAGTGAAGGAGACATTTCCGATCCTATAAAGTATATATATTCTTGATCAGCATCACTAGGAGAGTCGATCTAGCCATGTCCGCCTGTCCGTCCGTCCGTTTCTACGCAAACTAGACTGTCAGTTTTAAAGCTATCTGATTGAAACGCTTAACAATCCGGATTGGACGACTATATCATATAGCTTCCATAGGAACAATCGGAAAAAAAATTAAATTAAATTATTACTTTGCTGGTTTTACAATTTGGTTTTGTTAGTTTTTCGATATTTATTAATTTAGAATTAAGTTTTCAATTTGATCAAAAACGGACTAAAAAAATAAATGAAAAATAGTTGTAACTTCTCTTAATACCAGATATTTTCTAAATCTTTTGGATATATGAATGGTTTAATAATTCAGAATATCATTTTCTAGCTGCCAAACGAACGATCGAATAAGTAAGGTGAAAATCTTATTTGGGTACTCATGTAATTAAAAATTTAGATGTTTTAAGGAAGTTTAATTTTCGCAATAGCTGCAAGGGTATATAAACTTCGGCTTGACGAAGTTTGCTTCATTTATTTTTATATTATTATAATTCATTTTAATTTTCTTAAAATAAAGATATTTTAAATTTGAATTTGTATTTTAAATGCAATTTATTTTGTATTTAAGAAAATAATGTTTAAAGCCCAGTGTTAATGGAATTATTATGAATTTAATAGTTTCGTTGACATAAAGAAGATTATTTTCATCATATTTCATATTTAAAATCCTGGTTCTTAAACAAGTTATGCACCCCAATGTATGGCAACTAATGAACTTCTCACGCAACGTACTTCCTAATTGGGGACTACGGCACCCCAGGGAAAAACCTTCCCCACAAGCACGGGTTGGGGTCATCCAAAAAGAGATTTGCCTGGTTAGTTGCCTTCAACAGAATGGTGACATCGGTTGGTTTTTTGCTCCTGTTCTGCCTGCCCGGAATCCGTTCCCTGGCCGAGATGGCCTGCCGCATTGCCGTGGAGCAGAGTGTCCAGGTGACCTATCTGTACCGCTGTGCCAGCTGTCCGGCCGCATTTGATCCGGGACACTCCGCTGTGGAACTGGAGCTGTACTGCTGCGTGGCCAGTCGACTGCCGGTGGTCACACGGAACATCGAGGCCCATGAGCTGGAGCCCATGCGCCGCACGGACAGCCTGAGCATCTTCCACATTCCGGCGGGCGAAAAGGGGGATTCCTTGGTCCGTCGCATCCTGGATATGCTGAATCCCCGCCAGCCACGCAAACATCTGCACAAGTACCTATTCATGTGGCCCGATGCCAGGCAGGATCAGCTACTGACTCTCTTCCGCGGCAGTTGGGCCAAGCAGTTGCTCTACGGATTGGCCATTACCCATGCGGATGGTGGCTTCTTTGACTTCGATCCCTTTGCGATGGGGGGTCTTCAGGTGACTGGGCGGTCGCGAGGCGATCCGTATTTCCCTCACAAAATGAAGGATCTGAGGGGCTATCCCCTGCGTTTCTCCATGTTCACGGATCCCTTGATGGCGGTGCCCAGGAATCCCGTGGAGCGGGCCGGCTACAAGGCGGTGGATGGAGTAGCCGCCCGTGTGGCCGCCCGGATGTTGAATGCCTCCGTAACCTATGTCCTGCCGGCGGACAACGAGTCCTACGGCCGCTGCCTGCCCGATGGTAACTTCACCGGAGTGGTCAGGGATTTGGTCGGTGGGCTCACCCACTTCGGACCCAACTCCCGCTTCGTGCTCGACTGCATCTGGCCGGAGGTGGAGGTGCTGTATCCGCACACACGTCGCGTACTGTACTTGGTGGTGCCCGCCTCCGAAATCCAGCCGGAGTACCTGATCTTCGTGCGTGTATTCCGGCGATCCGTGTGGCACCTGCTGCTGGTCACCCTGTTGGCGGTGGTGCTGATCTTCTGGCTGATGCAGAGGCTTCAGAGGGGCATTCCCCGGCGCCAGGTTAATCACATCCAGGCCACCTGGTACGAGATTCTCGAAATGTTTGGCAAAACGCACGTGGGCGAGCCGGCGGGACGTTTCTCATCCTTCAGCTCGATGCGCACCTTCCTCATGGGCTGGATCCTCTTCAGCTACGTCCTGACCACCATCTACTTTGCCAAGCTGGAGTCCGCATTCGTGCGTCCCAGTTATGCGGCACAGGTGGACCGGGTGGCGGAACTGGCCCACCTGGATGTGCACGTCTATGCGGTGACCACCATGTACGAGGCGGTGAAGCCCGCCCTGTCGGCGCACCAGTACCGTCTGCTGGAGAGCCGCATTCGCCAGTTGCCCCTGGGACTGACCACATCCTACTACCAACTGGTAATCAGTCGTCGCGATCGGCGGTCGGCGTTCATCATGCGCGACTTTCACGCCCGCGACTTCCTGGCCCTCACCTACAACTCGCAGGCGGAGCGACCCGCCTATCACATCGTCAAGGAGTACCTGCGCTCCATGATCTGCACCTACATCCTGCCCAGAGGATCGCCCTTCTTGCAGCGGCTTGAGTCGCTCTTCTCGGGCTTCCACGAGCACGGTTTCTTCGAGCACTGGCGTCAAATGGATCTGATCAACCGGGATTTAACGTCGCCGAATGCCGAGGAGTTCTACGAGGATCTGGGGGATCAGACAGACACGGATCCGGTCACCAACGAGGCGGCAGTTCGGCGGAACAAGCGGGTGGTGCTCACCCTGGACATTCTGCAGGGCGCCTTCTATCTTTGGTCAGTGGGCATTGGAATGAGCTGCCTGGGATTCACCCTGGAGCACGCCCATCACCTCTGGAGGCTTCGGAGTCTAAGGGCTTAAGTTAAGACCAGGAATCTGGGGGACTCTCTCTTGTGTGACTATATTGAATACCAAATCTATAAACCGGCAATGCGTTACAAAATGTGGCAATCCAAAAAACTAGTGTTTTAGTAAAGGTATTGCAACTTAAATAACTTTTATAATGATTAATGAGTATTAATTAATTAAATTAAAGTTATTCAAATGTTAACATATTTAATTTATTTAAATGTACCGTATTTTTAACAGTGGTGCTGTGAGCTAACAGCCTGCGCTTAACAGCTCGCTGGTGACCGTCCATATCGATAGCCGCTATCGATAGGTCTTGGTGGAGCAACCCTGTCTCCGGCTGTCATGTTTCACTTCCGGAGCTTGCGAACAAAATATAATCGCTAAGGCAAAGAAAACCCTGCGAGTGGCGAGTGTTTTAAGATCACACTCACAAATAACATCAAAAGTGGTTAGTGGCAGTTGAGAGAGTGCCAGAGACCCCGAAAAACAGCAGGGAAAACGGACACCAACAGCAACAACAGCAGCAGCAACAACAACAACCTCGCTCATTTTCCCGCTTTTCGTTTATTAACATAACATCCAAAAGATAAACGATGGCCGATGCAGAGAACAAGCCACTGGCCGCTGAGCAGCAGCAAAACCAGCAGGAGCAGCAGAATCTGCAGGAGCAGGACCTCGAGCAGGAGTCGCAGGACGAGCAGCAGCTGCAGGGACAGCAGGGCAAGCCCGCTCCGCCGCCCAAGGAAGTCATTGGTAAGGAGAACCTAGGAGGAAATCCCAAAATCCAACCCATTTCATTCATATCGCAAACACATGGCTGCTACCAAAATAGCTACGGAAAAAAATAAGGAGAGAAAAAAAAAACGAAGAAACATGCCTCCCTGCGTTTGTGTGTGTGTGTGTTTGGGTCTTAAAATATACGCGCGTCGGCCATTTTGTGCGGCTAAAAGGCAGCGTGTATTTATGTACATACATATGTACGCCGCCGGCTAACCAAATTGAAAATTCTGCCTTTTGCCGGTCGTCTGTCTATACAACCACCCACCCACCCATCTTCACCCCCCGGCGTTCAAATTCCTCCTTCCCCCCGAAAATCCCATCATAGACGTACACCCACACACAGGCAGCCAGGGCAACCCAATTTGTTAATGCGCGCGCAGCAGGAGTGCGAGCGAGATGGCAGACAGCCGGTGCGGGTGTGTGTGTCCATTGTTTTGGTACATCTATTTGTACACACCGCATCACACACACACATGCCTGGCTTTAAGGCGATTCCAAAACACGAGACTATAATGCAACCAACATTTAATTTATTTGAGGGTTTTAAATAATAATTGGCTCCTGTGCAGAATTCCGAGGTGTTAATATAATAATAACATATTCAAAAATATTCCCGTTTTTCAAAGTAATAAAACTCTTTAGGATCGAAATTTTGGTAACCTGAGTAACGATAGGTAATATCCAATTCTGTTCTTAAAAAATAATAAATATCTGTTGCTAACCCGAAGTTTCTGATAGTAAAATTCTTCCACGGTCTAGTTTTTGGCATTTTGTCACGCTTTAATGAGTTAAAAAAGTACGTACTACGTATTTGATTAGTTCTGGTACTATACTATTGCGTAGTTCTTTCAAAACCTACACATCTAATCATATACTAATGTTTAATTTTACATTTAGTTCTTTTATAATCAATAATCAATCTAAGGATAATACAAATCAGTTCTTTTTTTTATAATGTATTTAATTTTAGTTCAATTTGGTTGTGTTCTTACAACACTTAAACGTAGGGGCTTAATAGTTATTAATCACTTTTACTTTTTTTTAAGTTTTGTTTATTTCATAAAACAGCATACTATGTAGCCGATTCTAAACGATTAATAATTCTGATTTTATGAGTTTTATAGTGCAGATCTTAAAGGGGAAATCCAATATTGTTTTTATATCATTTTTCTTTACTTTGAATACAATACCCTTTTGACTTAAATGTAAAGGGATTGTGTCTTAGAGGTACCTATACGACCGAACTGTTCCTTTAGCCATATAGAGTAACCGTCATTTACCATTGCAGCCACCAAAGTCACCGGCACCGTCAAGTGGTTCAACGTGAAGAGCGGCTACGGCTTCATCAACCGCAACGACACCAAAGAGGATGTCTTCGTGCACCAGAGCGCCATTGCCCGGAACAACCCCAAGAAGGCGGTCCGCTCGGTGGGCGACGGTGAGGTCGTTGAGTTCGACGTGGTCATTGGCGAGAAGGGAAACGAGGCGGCCAACGTCACGGGCCCGTCCGGCGAGCCGGTGCGAGGCAGTCAGTTTGCGGCAGACAAGCGCCGTAACTTCCGTCCCTGGATGAAGAAGAATCGTCGCAAGGATGGCGAAGTCGAAGGCGAGGAGCTGGAGTCTCCGGCCCAGCAGCAGCAGCAGCCGCCGCCGTCCGTTGACGGGCAGCAGCAGCAGTTGCAGTCCGGCCCGCGCCAGCCCCGCCAGAACTTCCGCCGAGGCCCACCCGGTGGACCGCCCGGCGGACCTCGTGGAGGCCCTCGAGGCGGCCCCGGCGGACCCCCTGGTGGCCCCCGGCGCTACAACCACTACTATACGCGTCAGCCACGTCGCGGTCTGGGTGGCGGTGATGGCAGCGCCGAGCCCGGCGTTCACGATCAGAATCCCGAGGGTCTGCAGCGGGGAGAAGGACAGGGACCGCGTCGCGGTGGCGGCCCGCCTGGTGGACCCCAGAGGCGCTTCTTCCGACGCAACTACAACAACGGACCACCACCACCACGCCGAGATGGCGGGGAATACAGTGAGTATAAGCGATTTGGGAATGGCGCATGCATTTAATAGAAAAATCATTCAAAGATCTTTCTTACATGTTCATAACTTTTCATGCGCAAAACAAAAAGTTTTAAGATAAAATGTAATAGGAAAATCGAACTAATTTCCTTCATATTTTAACATATACATACGTATATTTCTCAAGAAATAGTGATATTTGACGAAGTATTTTTGGCAATTTTAAAAACACATTTTAAATTGGAAAATCGTCATAGCTTGTAACCCATTTAGGTTCAATTTCTCAATGTAATGTTAAGATTTTAGTTGCAATCTGCCAGAGAAAGTTGCCGTAAACCAAATTGATGAAAACAGAAATTCGCTTTCTCAATAAAATGTTAATTTTTACAAAATGTTTACAAACATTACCTAATTTTTAGCCAAACAACATGAGATTAAGTATATATATTTTTCTGGAAAAGCAAAGAGTTGTGTTTAAATTTAAATGGGCGCTAAAGCGAAAACATAATTTTTCGGAGTGCCCAATTGAACTATGAAATAGTCCAATAAATTACGATAAAACTCATTTGTACTTGATCCTTGATTAATCCATTGTTTTCCATTACAGTTCAAGGTCAGGGACCGCCACGCCCTCAACAGCCACGTCCACGTCGCCAGAATCGGAAACCGAATGGCCCTGGCGGTGGTTTGGAGCAGCAGCCACAGCAGGTAATGAACTAATCACCAGAACAAAAACAGTTGAAACATCTTCGCCAAAGCAAAACTACGATAACATCTAACTAGTAAACATCGGCAACAACCGGCGGCAACCATAACAACAAGGTGGCGGTCACTTGAAAAACTAACTAAAATGCATTGCAGATGTATTCATAATTAACCACTAACATCAACAGCCACTCGCACCCACACAAAAAGCAAAGACACAGCAATCAAGAGGAGGGACCTTAACACTTAACTTAAGAGGCTTTGGGTCTAACATTCTTTTATTTTAGTTATCTGTAACTAATTGGCTAACAAACACACACACACAATTAATGTAAAACCAAAAACTGCTTTTTACTTTTGACATTTGAATTTTTAAGTTAACTTATCGTTATGATTTCTACCCCTCGCTATTACCACACAAAATCCTTAGAACGGCGCTCAAGAGCTGCAAAATACCACCACAGAGAGCACTGCATAAAGAGGACTGTCGAACCGTCAAAAAACATTAGCAGTAGCATATAACAATCGTCGCAGCAGCAGAAGCAGCAGCAACATCAACATCAGCAATCGCTGCAAATTGGAGCAACAACATCAGCAAATAAGGCAGCACTTTGCTAAATGAGCAGCCGCTTTTTTTTCGGTTTGTTTGCTTTTTGTTTTGTTACATAGGGCACAGAAGATCGAATTGTTTAAATAATGAAGAAGCATCCATACAACAGTAACATGAAAATTTCTATTAAATTCAAAAAACCAAGTTTCTAACATGGCCGGTGAAAATTGCATAAATGTCGAATTGTATTATATGAACCACATCAACAAAAATAAATTCAAATACGCTCAGCAATTAAGACACCAGCGCCTGTATACCCCTTAACTTAATTATTATTTAAAATTGTATTTATTTTTGAAATCCTTCTCTCGAACGTTGTTACGTTGTGCGTTAAGCGAACCTTTAATTCTAAGTTTCTCGTATTTGAAGATTACCATTAAAAATGTATACCCACACACAACCTTGTTCCATCTATACATCATTTTAAACCGAGAAATGCAAGAATCAAACGGATGCAAGGCCCCATTAAAAGTATCAAAAAATAAAAGCAAAGCAGAGCAAACAAACAAGTGAGAATGAAATCATGTAATTCACAGCAAACAAACTAAAAAAAAAAACTAAAAGCAAAGCAAAAAATATAAAACAAAAGCAAGATGGCAACAAAAGAAAAGTAAAAAAAAAAACTTTAAAAACGTATTGGAAAAAATAAAAAAATTGAAAAACACTGTTTAGCATATTTATCTGATTTGGAAAATTAGATTAGATTAAACGATTTTGGGAGCAAAAGGTGAAGTTATCCAAGAAGCTATCAGAGACCCTTTTGGATTTCTACGAAATTAAGATGTAAAACACAGTTAAAGTGGCTTAAGCATATAATTTATTCTGTATTATTAAGTGTGTTAGACTAAGAAGATATCTTACAAGCACACGGTTAGGTGCTACAGGTCTGTGGTCAAGGATGTAACCGTGGAAATGTTGAGCCGCTCTAGCCGCCCCAAAACGAGAAGTTCATCTATGGATCGCTTGGCGTAGAACTTTTGCTCCTCGCTCAACCGCAGGAAAGCGTGTGCCCAGGACTTGGCATAGGATTCAGCTTCGGACAGGGCGCTGGCGTCGAACTGGACGCCGTTTTCCGCTGACTTGGGCTGGATTTTCTCATTTTTAAAGTCCGTCGCAGGTTGTTGGATGTCTGTTAGGTCCAGCTCGATGGGCACCTGCTCATCCATCTCCACCGTTTCACCGTCTTCCAAATCTGGTTCAGCCGACAAGTTATCCTCGGAAAACAATTTAAGCAGGGGTCGGGAATTGGTGGATTCGAAGTCACGCTCCAATTCTGCCTGTAGGTTAAAGTCGATTTAATAAAATTTGAGACAAAATTTCATTTAATTTGATTGGGATAAGTTAAGAAATTTTAACAAACAAAATATTCATATATCCTGTAAAAACTAATTCGAAGAATATTTATCCTATTCCGAATCTACTCACTCTTAAGTTCATTTTTATATATGTAAACGATTTTTTTTTTTGGTTTTGAATCATTTGAATGGGATCTGTTTTGCTAAAGCTACCATTTGGTAACCAGATAAATAATTCAAATGTTAAAAGAGAAATATATTATCTTAATGAGTTAAGATGAGATGAAATGACTAGAAGGGCGCAACTTTCCAAACGTTTTGATCCGATCAATTTTGGAACTATACTTTAAATTCTTCTAGTACATCTTAACATGGATTTTCTAAGCCAATTTAATACAAAAAGGCCATTGTAGTTCTTGAATCTTCCATTGTCATCACCCAAATAGTATCAAAAATAACAGACAAGCTCTTTCCCTATCCCACCCACTTACGGTCACCTCCACGGCGATCTCCTCCTCCAAATGGGTCTCTATTTCGTCCTCTAGGTCGCTGTACTGGGTGAGCGGATCCGTGGAGGCCTCGTAGAACCGATCGCACTTGGTGGCATAGGTTGGACGTCGCTTGCTTGTCGATTTCTGGTTGCGCGGCGCCTGAGCAGCGGCAGTGGGCGCGGGGGCGTGGTTGTAGGAGACATTGCCACCGGTGGAATTGGCATTATGTTTAAGGAAACGCACATGGCACTTGTGGATGCGGAGGTTTGAGGTTGTGCCCCCTGTGGACTGCATGACCCGCTTGCACCCGATGCAGTAGTACCTCCATTTCAGCTTGGTTCCATCGGAACGGGCTATTTCCCGGTACACGTTCCACACGGAGCTGCGCTTATTCTTCTTCACTAGCCGGTACTCGCCGGTGTTAATCTTGAGCAGGATGTCCAGCTGCGCTTCCGAGCACTTCTCCTCTTCCTCGGGAGCGTTTATAACAAACATATTTCTCCCTACAATCCGTATGGTCATAGCACAAACAACAGCCGGAGCGAAAAACAAGGTGGCATCACTGGTAGACCTTTCGATTTGATCAAAATCGATATCCCAAAAATATAAAATTATCGAACATTTTAAATTTGAGCCTCAAATTAATATTTCTATTAAAATAAAAATGCAGGCCAAAAATTATGCCCATTCAATTACTTATGATACAGAAATCGAAAAATCATTTTATTTTAAACAAATTCTGAGGTATTTTATTCGCATAAATCAAATTGGTCTTAAATGAATAAATGAAGCGATTGCCAAAATACAAAATTCTTGAGCACGTTGTGAAATAAATTCTTTTCAATTTCTACCAAATGTAATAGCTTTATATTCTGACTTGTTGCAAATTTCAAAACTCCTATTATTTTCGATAAATGATTTTGAAAGTAATCAAAAATGTATATTATGATTAATTAAACATGTATTTAAAGACATTAAGAAACTTATTGTGTAGCTGATCCATATACCGTCAGATAAGTACTCATGATTTGGAGTCTTCTTTGGAATCATTAAGAAGTCCATACAAGCTGTTCCGAAATGCCGACATCTCGTTCACAAAAAACTTCATTAGCTTACATTTTTTCCTCTCTATTAACAGCTTTTCCTCCTGTATTTCCAACATTCTAGCTGATCTTTTACGCTTAGCTCTTTTCATTTCTTCGATCGTCGCATTCTGTTGGTCGAGCTCTTCTTCGTAGTTCTCTTGGGAATGGACAGTAGAGGATTCCTCTATTTCCCTTATAATGTTGTCCTTTAGTTCGCTTAGTTCATCCATGTCCTCCTGTGATTGTTCCAGGTCATTGCATAAGTATTCATCGTCCGGTTCCGTTGGCTCATCGTTTAACTCCGTAAAGTACTTTTTATCCTTCGAAGATGTAATATGTTTTTCCGAATATTTATTATGAGCGTTTATCTGAATGGATCCATTTCCAGAGTTATCCGATCTCCTAGGCCTGTTATCCACTTTTTTATCCTTCAAAGAGCCATCAATCTTACTTATGGTTATCATGATAGTTCCATTTCCAGGTTTGTTCGATTCCCTAGGCTTGGTTTCCACGGGCTTAATGTCGGAATCGATTATCCCCTTAACGGTCTCGAAAAACTCCCACTGTGATGGTTTTCCGGTCGTTTTTTCCATGTGGACTTCTCGCCTGAAATAAAGTTATGAATTTTAGATATTAAAGGCATATACTAATAATGTTCAAGACACTTAAATTATTAGAAAACCGGTGCACAATTAAATGCCCTACCAGTAATAAGACCATAAAGAGGGTTGAATGTAAAAAAATAGTATTTTTTTAAGACAGTCTTAAAGTTTTGTGTTTCTTACCGATATTGTTGGGCAACATCATCCAATTTGTTTTTAATTTCCGTGAAAGTGAACCCCAGGGTCTTCATTTCGCCAGTTATTTTCCAGATAACCCTGACCCGCTTTTTAGTATCCCGCAGATCGGCGACATTTTGTGCCCAATACTGAAGGAGCAGTTCGGTGGCGTGGAAGGACCATTCCGCCGGCTGGGGATAGTTCCCATTGCGACGCCGCGCCGGAGGACTTGCATTCTGAAAGGTACCCCGTATAGTTGAGTTCATCTGACGAGGAAGTGGCCCATGTGCCCATGCATACCTCTTGCACTGAAGGCGTCACATCCGAGAACGTCCTGGCATTGGGATCCAGACTCTGCCGCAGGAAATCCACGTGACATTTGTGGGTGCGAAGATTCGAGGTGTTGAAGGATCGCATCACACGCTTGCAGCCGGTACAGAAGTAGAGGCCATTGATGATGGCCCCGTCGGACCGCACTATTTCCCGGTAAACCTTCCACACGGTGCTGCCCTGTTTCCGACGGAGCAACCGGTACTCGCCGCTGAGCACCTTCTGCGCGACCTCCTTTGTCGTCTCCTGGTATTTCGACTCGTCCTGCAGCGTGCGCGCCTCAATCATTTTGTCTTATTTCGTCTGAATCTAATTTGTTATTATTAACGCTGCCTATCGATGTTTCTAGAGATGAACTAGTTCGTGGGGAACCAACTTATCGAGGTCGATGAATAAATACATTTAGTTGAGTTTCCAACCAATCTCGGTGATTCCCAATTTAACCGCTCTGGCGCTTTACGGTATGGGCAATATATTTATAAAAAAAGTTTATAAAGTGATATTATCAGATCTAATGTAAAATATTTATAAAAGTGGAATTTCTGACTCTAGAATAAATATAATTTAAAACAAATTTTATTGATCGATTCACAACAATTTTAAAACCTATATAAAAAACAAAATCGAAGGCTTCGACAAGCCGAAGTTTTATATAGGGCAAATAATGTCAAATCTCCGCATGTTTTCAAAACAAACCAAATTTAGATCATTTTCTATAACATTATCGTCAAATCGGTACGTTGTTTTAGATCACTTTCCATAAAAAATCGTCCAATCGGTACCATTTTTTAAATTATGACCAGTGTACATATAAACAAATAATGGTTGCGGTTCAATAATCTATCTTTTAAACGAATGCAAAGTTTTAAGACTCTTGCTTTTAAACTGATTTCGCAAACGCCAAGGAATAAAACGGACATGGTCATATCAACGTCTAATAAAGCTGATTAATTTAAGCTAACTTTAACTGCGTTACAAACTTGTGACAAACTTAATAATAAACCTTTGCTTTAATATAACAAGATTAACGAAACCATTTTTTTAACATTTTTTTTTATGTGTATTTATTTATTTTACATAAAATGATACTTGCACATACACAGCAAATCTAAAAACAAAAATAGTAAAAATAATTCAAATGTTTTCAGATCGGTATAAGACATAGTTATTCGATTTTTAAACTTTATCAAAATATGTTCAAACCGATGAATTACAAAAAAACTCAGAATGTCGACATCTTTAAATTTTGAATTTTGTTTAGAGAGCACAAAACATTTCCGGCTATAACACTTAATGTTTATTTCACTGATTTTTGTACTTAAACAAATTAACTATGTCTTTGTGGAATGAGTTTAGCTCAAGAAGCGCTTCCTTCATAACCTGCAGCTTTTCACGCTCGATCATCAGTTTCTCCTCTTCTATTTGAAGGAGTCTATTCGAATGGCTAATCGGCATCTTTCTTTTAGTGTGATATTTGGGAACAGGCAATGGAGCTGTTTCTTCCATCTGCTCTTCGTCCACTTCATCCTGGAAGTCGGGGATAATTGGAGAGGGAGGAGCCCGCACTCTTCTGATGCTTTCCTTGGCACACAATTCACTTTCAGATTCATCCTTTTGGTCATCAACCATCGATTCATCTTTCATCAAACTCATTTCTTCGTCCTCAAATTCCGCATCCTGGCCGTAGTTTATGGTCTCAGCTGTAAGTTAAAATATAGGTTTGAGAATTGTTGTATTTACAGAACATATGTTTACCTGGATTGTCGTGCATAATGTCTTCAAAGACATCAACGGATTTGGTGCCAATTAGGAGTGCTTGAAGCTTGTGGAAGTAGTCCCACTTAGAAGGAACTCCGGTTTCCCGGACTTTCTCAGCTTCTATACTGTTAATAGTAATGGAATAGAACAATTTATCTACTATCACTGCAGTTCTGAATAACTTACCGATACTTTCGCGACATATTGTCGATTTTCGTTTTGATCTCCGTATGGCTTGGCCCAAACTGGGACATCTGTTCAGCCATTTTTCGGTAGATAGGGACATTCTTTGATTCTCCGCGGATCTCCTTTAAGTTTTGCGCCCACAGCTGCAATAACATTTGCTCTGCATCCTTTTTCCAGACATGCCGTTCCGTTTTAGTGTAGTAATCCTCGAATTGACGGGCTTTGCCTTTGGGCTTTGGGGAAATGCCATTGACTCGATCCACTGACTCAGTGGTTTTTTTCAGGGCGGGAATCTTAGCAGGTCGCGCAGTTTCCGTCTGGGATTGATCATCGCTTAGAAGGGCATGCAATGGTCGCTTTGAGCGCGGCCCTGGCTTTGGACAATCCGTAGTCTCTTCCTGAAATAAATATGTAGCTTTATTCGTAGCTTTTAACCTTATTTACTACCAATATATGTACCTAAAGCATGATTTTCTTAGCACATACACAACATATCATCATAGGTGCACCCTTCCACTTGGCCTTTTTAAATAACAGAAAACATAACTGTTTATTATTTTCAACTTTATATTGGCCTTATTTGTTTTTTATGAATTTGGTGTCAATAAAATAGTCACGATTGAATAACATGTAAAAGAAGAGATCAAATTGAGTTTCAGATACGATTTAAGACTTTTCAGTAGACTTTGAGTGAAGTATGAAAATAATTTGTTTGTTTTGATTATAAATATTTTTTTTTCTGATTTCTAAAAATTTATTAGTTGACTTAGAGGTATACAGGTAAACATAACAAGGTTCTGGCTAGTTTCATAGTTTTTCGACGCGCACCGTGCCTTCTGCTTTTTTGAAAATTAATACTTTTCAATTTTATAGGTATATTTCGTTAGCATTTGTATTCCTTAGCTGTCATTCTATTTGTACTTTGAAAAATGTAAGCACCTCTGTGTTGGACTGTTTTTTTTTTTTTTTTGTGGACCGTGGATTCTTTTCTTAAGGGCGTTGTTTATTCCATTCATAATTATTTCCCAATAAATGTGGCTTAGTTTCATCGCTCCTTAACTGTGTGATTCGACGCACAATATTATGAGAAGCTCAAATATACGGTAGTTCCCCTTTTTCAGATTATGAAGCGGTGTGGCCATATTAAAAAAAAAAAAAAAAAACTTCTAGTGGCCGCCAGTGTGCATCCAATAACTTTATCTTTCTGATCTTTCTGTAGAGCGGGTGCTTTGACGGTAATATGCGATATATTTTCTCGATATTTTAATTTGGCCACTCTATTCCAAATACTGCAGAGTCTTAAGATAAGAAAGTTAAATTATTTATTTATTATTTAGACAACCGTTTGATATGAATAATCCTTCAAATAATCCTTTCTCCACCAAAGGGTAAATTCAAAATACGTTTGTATTTAATCCAAAATGTATTCTTTCTTATTTGCGGCAGGTCTAATAGAATTTTGGATCTGCGTAAACATGGCCTCTTCTCGGATATAGTCATCCGCATTGGGAGCTTCAAATTTCAATGCCACAAGATCGTTTTGGCCTGTGCCTCGCAGTTTTTTGAAATGCTATTTCAAAGAGAAGGTTTGCAAACCGGAGAAGTCGTATTGCAGGACACTACGCCCGATATTTTTGAGATATTTCTTGACTACATCTACACAAAAGACGCCGAAGCGTTGGATTGTCTTGAAACAATACTACTGCTATCGCTTTTTAAGTGTGCGAATATGTGGCTGGCATACGAAGTAGAGAAAATTTGCGAACAAGTTTGTTTAATTCGAATTGATGCAATGGAGCCTGCGGAATTGGTACAACTTTTTGCTGTCTCCTTTCATCTGGGAAATGAATATTTGTATTCGCGCATTATTGGGGTAGGCACCATTGCTCTTAATAATTAACGTTTGAGTTGCTGATAATGTATTGATTATAGATTTTACATAAGAAAAGAAGTATTGACTGCCCGGAAGCCTTAAAATTGGGAATCGACTGCTTCATGAAGTATTTTGAGATGACTGGTGAGATGACTGTAGCGGACCGTTTTGATATGCTGGAGAAATGGGTAAACAAAAATATGCCCGAAGTGACTGGAGTTGTTGTGTTCTCAGTGCATGGAAAAAGCAACCCAAAAATTGAAGACTTTCTATCCGTCACAGATTTTGATAAGATTACTGTTATGTTGAATGATATTGACTTAATGGAAATGTCATTTCATGAATTTTACTGCCAAGCTGCAAAGTCAAATATGTTGAATCATTCAGACCAAATAGAATTAATGTATCAAATTGGTAAGAAATGTATGTATGATTGACTTTTTGGCATTTAGCTTCATAACAAACCTTAAATTAAAACTAATAAGGGACAGGAAATTATTTTGAATAAACGAAAGTCCCTGTAATGATAAAAAATATATTTAAAATCCTAAGTCTCTGGAAAGTTTATAACCTGGTTAAATATATTCTAGGGCATACACGAAATAAAAGTCGCCCAAGTGGTATGAAACTTAAACAATTTAAAAATCATAACAAACGTTAGTTACAAGTTTATATCTCCTAGTATAACTAATTTGGTAAAATCATTTCTTTTCTGCCATGTGATTTTAATAAACATAAAAGCAAAACTATACATATGTACATATGCCTGCAAGGGAATTAAAAATACATCCCCTAAGAAAATGGTCCTCTGTTTTTGAGATATGGGAATGATTATTCAATTTGAAACTCACTTCCTCCGCCTGGGATTCCTCCGCCAGGAACACCGATTCGTAAAACTTCTCATACTCGGATTTTGGCGGGAATGCGCGCTGCGGTTGTGCAGCTATGGGTTTTTTTTCACCACCAAGACTTCGATTGCGGCTGTTTAGGGCAATTCGCTTGCTCCGTGGCCCGCTGACCGTTTTCCGGGGACTAAGGGAGTCCTCCTTGGCTTTGGCGGTACTTGCACTCGTTCTCGACGGCATTGCGTTGTGCTCTCCGTTGTCCTCTCGCTGGTGACGTCAATTATTATTGTTTTGTTATTATAATTGTCTTAAAATGTTATTTTGTAATATCCTCGCGTTGTTTTTATCAGTGTGACCGGAGCTTAGCAACCTAAATATACCAAAAAAGAAAAAGCAACAATACTCAGGAATATACCGAAACTCAGGTTGAAATCGATAGTCAGCTGAAGAGAAGCAGCCCTGGTTCAGGCTGGGCGGGAATTTTAAATTTACAAAGCGATTTAGCGAAATAAAACCAAACAAACCTTACATTTTTTTTATAATTGTTAATCTTTTTAGAATATTTTGATATACAAAAATAAAAAACAGCAGCGTTTGCAGTGAATGAGATGAAAAACTAATTTCAGCTTTCAGGCTTTACATTTTTTGAGTAGAATTCATTAAGCCTGAAATAGAAAATTCTAAAGTCTGTTTGTAACAAAAAGATTGCGTTTATTCTTGTTATAATTTAATGTTTAATTTTTCTTTGAATTTTTCAGTGTTATTTTTTAGACACAATCCTTAAACATTGAAGATAAGTTAATTTGAACGAATTGATGGTGCTTACAATTGCTCTAGATGCTTTCCTATGTGGAAATTCGCACGCACTTTTAGCTAATCAAGCTAGGTCAGCCGGTATTTGCCACTGCAAATGTATCTGCATCTGCAACTGCAAACGGCATCTGCATCTGCATCTGGGAACAAGCCCAAGGCAAAGCGGACGACAACAATCAGCGACAATTGCCCAAAGATTGCGACTAATGGTTGGCCGACGCACGTCGTCGCAACAGACAGAAGGTGCCTGTGGGAGCTTTTCAACCGGTTTCGATTCACCCGTCTTCCGACTATTCCTGTCTTCACACGGAGAAAAGTCAAACCAAAAATAGGTTAAACAATTTTTTTTTTGTTAATTTTTTAAATACAAATTATTCAAAAATAAGTTATGGAAGAAACTACTTGATCGCTACAATTTATCATTTTTTTTTTCATAAAGTAAATTTAAAAACGTATTTTATTTATTAATTATTTATTTTTTCTCTGTGCTGACTCCTGGCTCCTGCTTTTGGCCGGCTGCAAAACTTTCGGCTCGTGCTCGGTGATTGCCGGCTGTGCTTGTGGCCAAAACTTATGGTTTAGCATTTAACCTGTCACTTAATCGAAAAAAAAAACTGCCCTCTGCCATCCAGAAGTTTTTTAATGACGCTTGGCTCGTGCCGCAGCAGCTGTTGGAGCAAGACGTTTTTTCCAGCTCCCCACTGTTAGATGTTCCAGATACGAAACACTATCTGGACAATATTGAAAGCTTTAAGCAACCTACCAAATACTCTCTAATATAAACCTTTATAAATTTAATAATATAAATTTATTTCTTAATGAATATAATTTTACTGAACAGTTTTGAGGAAGAATAAATGTTTTAAATTGTGGTTTAATTATAATATAATTATATTAATATTTCGACCTTTGTTAATTGAAAAATAAAATACTAAATATAATTTCGTGTGTGTCTTGAAGCTAAAAAGAAATCTTATAAAGATGTCTTCTGTTACTTAAATAACTTGACTACATAAAAAGGATTAATTTTAAAACTATGGTTTGAGTATAAATTATAAAAATCTTAATTATGCTTCAAAGAATAATTAAAAATATTATATTATTATTTATTAACTGCATACAAAGACATTTTAAAATTTAAAAACTTAATTTTCTATAGAAATATGTCTTCATATAATTTTCTCTAGAGGAAAACTACAACTGGAGCTGCAATTATGATGCCATGGCTCCCTCTGAATCCCAATTCAGGCAGCAGCACATAAACACGCTGATCCAACTGTCTTGCTGATCGTAGCTTTCCTCATTGTGTCGAGCCAACTTAATTGTTTCTTGTGGCTGCTGACATTGTTTCTTTTTTGCCATCCGCTCGGGAACCCCATTGCAGCTTAAAAAACCCGACAACTGTGGCCATGACTTTGTGCAACTGGCGACATCACAGCCACTGTCGCACACTCGGAAAAATATCCATTAAAAATAGTAATCAAATAACTTAAATAGTAATAAAATATTTAATTTATCAATTAAAATTTGTAAGGGTTATATAATACATACATGAATGTTAATAATTGTTAACGATTTTTTTTTGTTCGTTTTTTGCTTAACCCATTTTTTTTTGTGTGCAGGAACATTTACAACTTGCCGATGGCCTCATGGCATCATTATGGGACTGGCTCCGAAGTTGAGACTGGGCGAGACCTTATTTGTTTGGCGCATAATTTAAGTTAAAGCCCGTGCAAATGTCGTATTGTTGAATGTTTTCCGTCGTCTGTTGCATGTTGCCAGTTGCATGTTGCTTGTTGCCAGTTGCCTACGCGATTGGTTGCATACATCTGTTGCCCAGAAAAGAAAATTAAATAAAATGAGGATTCACTTGATTGGATAAAACAACTGGTGTGTTTTATATTTATTAGCAATAACGGTTGCAGTTATTTCGAATTCTTATTGAGTCTCTTATAACAAAATAAAAATTTTTCAAATTATTATTTATGGTTGTTATCAGAATTTAACACTGGCCGATTAAAATAATGATTATGATTAATAATAATAAGAGTGTATTATGTTAATTCGTGTGTCAAAAGCAAGCTTTTATAATTTTATTCTTTAAAATTAGTGCGACATTTAATTAATATTCTGTTTTATAATGTAATATTGCAATGGCAGCCATCGGTTTGGAGCGTTTCAAAAAAAGTTAAACTGAATTAACAAGTATAAAAAATTGTCTTCAAATTTAGACACTATATTTTTGAATAATATACATTAATTAATGACAACAAAAAACAATCGAATCAAAAATGTAAAAACGATACTTTCTTTTAATTCGTTTATAAATCATTTCAAATGTTTTAAGATATATTTAAATATTTTAAGATTTATACCTTCACCTCTGCTAGCATTGTTTTGTGTGTATTGGGGGCATGGCCCAATCCCAGTCCTTTCTGGAAGTGCCTGCTGGCGCTTGATTGCAGGTTGTCATGAGATCGGCGCACTCGACGCGCATCCATTCAGTCAGGAGCGACAGACGGCACATATCCCCACATCCTATGCCTGGAGGATCACCAACGACCAGCGTGTCTCTCCAATTGCATTTAGGTTGGCCATGTCCCTTTTTTGACGTGGGTCGATGTCGCTCGGTTCTTACATGAGTTCCCCAACTGGTTTTTCAGATCGGAGAATTGGCAGCAGGGTGGCGTGCCCACAATTGTTAGATTGTATTATATTATTGCATTTTCCATCTCTAAATCGCTTACAGATCACGCTCAGAGCTTCTCTGGCGGGCAAAGCACATGGAAAAACTACAAATAATATTATGAATATTTTCTTAATACAAAATACATACATTTACTGTACAAACATTCGACGTGCCATGAATTGAACCATTATCTGCCAAGCAAATGAAGGATTGAAGCATTCGGGATATAGAATTTTCGAATCGTTCTGTACCCTCTATTTCCTATAAAACTACATAGACTTATAGCCATATATAACACATATTTATATAATATTAAAGTATATAGTGCAAGAATACAAATTTAACCTTATACTTCTTAACTTATTATTATAAATATATGTTACTTTATATATTACTTTAATATTATTATAAACATATGTTTAATATCTTAAGCCTTAAATAAAATATATTTTTGTCTCTTGAACATTATTAAGCTCAATTATTCTAGATTTAATTAAATTATGTAATATTTTTCTCTGTGCAACACTTCATAACTATATTGACACAAGTCTGGCCATAAAGTAACACAACTTATGCGGACGGTGTGTAGCACCATGTGGGTGGGTGGTACAGCCAGATAAGATATGTATGTACATATGTACATCATACATATGCCTGCCTAAACCGAACAAAATCTGCATAAATGTGCCACAGCTGAAGCGTTCCCAACGAGGCATAAGTGTTATTTTTTGGCCTAAAGAAGTACCCAAAGCTTCAGACTTTGGAAAACCCAACGAGTTTCACAAGAATTAGATAGTTGGCATATTACTTTCACAATGGCTAACTATTAATTTCTTTTCATTTGAAATTTTAAAAGACATATAATACATATGGGATTTCCTAAAACATATAACAAGTAAGGGAGCTTATTACAAAATAAGGTTGCATTCTTGCAGAGATAAATTGATTTTGTTTAAAAAAAAAGATACTACTATGGTTTTACAATTTATAGAGAAGGATTGGACATTAAACTTAGAAAATTGTTTTTTCACAAACGTAAATAGGTTTCAAACAGCACTTTATGGTACTCATTCTAGTGGGAAGAAGTTGTTTTTTAGATAGCAGTTACATCCAAACTTTGTTTATACGTAGATGTATCAATTAGGCCGACAAGCCCAACAAAGACTGTTAAATCCGTGGGCTGAGCTTAACCTAATTTACTCGACCATCATCTCACCGCGGCACAAAAGTTCTTAGAAGAAGAGAATAACAAATAATTTCCAACGTCTATCGTTTGAATCTTACTGTGAACAACATTAAATGAGACTATCCGGCTTAAACATACAAAGCCAGGTTCAAAGATAACCAACAGAGATTGAATGGATGTGGGACCATTTTCCCAGATGAACAGGAAACTCGACTTTGAGATACCCAGAATTTAAGTGAAAGGCTAAAGATATCAGTGAAGAAATTTGACGGATTTTTAAGACTTAGGAATATTACAATGAATAAAAGGGAAATTTTTGACAATTTCATGTCCCTACATTATTATCTGGTCGGTTAAAAACATTGAGGATGGCAGAAAATAAATACTACCCAGATTGAATTAGACCCTTTTGGGGTCTTCAATGTTCTTATAGATTAGTTCAGTATACTCTTCAACTGTACGAATAGGGTGGGTAAAAACGAATTTGATTTGAGGAAAGTCAATTACTGTGGAACCCGTTTAGAACACGAAACCAATAGGACGGCTTATCAGAACGATTGAGCGTGCCCCAAACAGTTCGCTGCAATGAAAATTAATTATGTGTGTGCACTGAAAATAATTTTGTGAATTATTATTTTGAGGATAGTTATAATAATTATATAGATAATTTATAGCAAAAATTTTTTGCAATGCCTTATAAATGTACAAAATATACAAAAAAAAATAATGACATTTATAGCAAAAAAATTGGCATTTTGTACCCAAGCTACAAAAAATTGTATATTTATACATTACATTGCTTTTAAAATAAAAAAATATACAAATATTTTTAAATAAGAAATCATACATATGTTGGCAAACTATTTTAAATAAATCTGGCTTAAAAGGACACAATTTTTTTTTATGTGTGTGTGTGAGTGGACTATCCCCCTAGTCGGCGACAGGGAAACAGTAGCAGTAAAAAGTTTAATGAGCTGAGAAGAGGAAGAACAGCAACAACACCAACCACAACTTCAACCGCAACAACAACAGGAACCAGAAGAACTGAAAACAAAAACAAAGAACGATCGAAAAGCGCGTTTGTTTTGATTGTGCGACAAAGACAGAGGGGCACAAAACAAGACATAAGAAAGAAGGAGCCGAAGAAGGAGAAAGAAAAACGATGGAAAACGCGACAACGGCTTTTAAATTAAAAAGTTGCTGGCACAGCAAAAGCGCATAAAACAAACCAAAGACCGAAAGAGACGGAGCACCGCCAAACAAACTGGTTTAAAAACTCCCACTCACACACGCTTAAACCTCCGAAGGCTCTCTTTTGCAGGAAAAGTCTCTTCTGAGAGACTCTTTCTGCGACTCTTTCAGGCTTCTCTTTTAAGCTCGTCTCTTTCGGATTCTCTCGATTTCCACAAAACTTATTGTTTACGTTTTGCGAAAAATGGTACCCGAAAATAAAAACAAATCAAAAAGGTATTCTGTCCGATTTTCAAAAGGATATAGTTTGTTTTATTTTAATTATTAAAACAGACAAATTACAAATAAAAATTTGTCTTACTGCTTATTTTTAAATAGTTCTAGAAATTAAAAATTATTTTTAATAGGAATTTAAAATTTTTTAAGTTGTTAATTTTTACTTTGCAATCTAAAACGAATATTACTATATCAAAACGTGACCTAGACAACAAGCAAATAAAGTTTCTGGTTTGTACACAAGAGAGTACAGGCATATTACCCTTGGGTAACGGGCAAAACTTGTTGACCATTAAGAGAATTCGAGTGAAACGATGTTAAAAAATTTAAAAACAATATATAAAAATCTTGAAGTCCGTTGTATACTCAGTTTGGATAATAGAAAAGTTTCAATCATTTTTTCTACAGTCATATTTTTGTAAACTATATTTTTTATGGCTATATATTCAAATCTTATTTTTCAGATTGTATGTATTTATGTTAGATTAATTTAAAATTTGTTTAAAATAAAATTCTTATTTTTTTTCTTTTCGATGACCTAACTTTCTTTTCTAGTCTTCATTATTTGAAAGCTTTCCAGATCTACTAAGACAATCTTTTCTCTTGGCTGCTTTATTAGGCTGCGACACGAGCGGAAAAGTGGGTTAAATTAATAAGTTAAGGCGGTTTCGGTTCAGTTTGGGTTGAATTGGCGTCATCTTTTTGGGCTGGTTGCCAATCTCTGGCTGTTACCATAGTTCCTTTTTCCTGGCCCGGATCGTGACTCGTTTTGCGTGCAGGAAAGAAAAAAAGTGGGGCCCCCGAAAACCGTCGCCGCTCAAGATATAATTGTTCGATTGATAAAGCTGGCAGCGACCCGAGACCCGAGACCCGGCCATGTTGGTCTAATTTATTTGCGCCTTGAAGTTCCCGCCCCTCTATTATCGTTGGCTTTTGTTTTTGGTCAGCAGAATGCAATAAAGTCAAATAAGTCAAATGCGGTAAGTCCTATAATAAAGTGGCACCCACGTCGACCAGTAGTCGGACTTGTATTGACCCCATAATTCCCGTGCTTAATTGATTACCTTCAGGTCCAATGGTGGGTGGATGAGTGGCATTAATGTTGCTGGGCAGTATGTAAAATATTTTACGTTCGCTTTGTTTCTTGGTGCCCACACTATCTGCTTCTGATAATGGCATATATCTTTTGACTTCCTAAAAAGCCCGGCAGTCTCGACTTTAAAATTTCGTTTTTTCTCTCGCTTTCTTGCTATCAAGAAACTGTTTCTTTGTTCAAAAAACTGCGATCTTGAACTTAAAGATGTTCTAGTAAAAATAATATAATATTTTTATTTCCTGTAAACAAAGTTTATCGTCTTGCGAATATCCGCTAGGGAAAATTAACTGCAGCTTATTACTCCGATGGGGAAAATAAACATTTATATGTTTGAAGAATGACATAATTTTTTAGGTATTTTTATAACAAATTAAAAAACAATTTCTTAGCCATGTTGATAACAAATTTCTAAAAACTTGTACATTTATCTAAAATTAATTTGTTAAATTGTCTTTCTATATTCCAAATTTATCTATATATTTAAAAAAAAAACAAAAAATAAAATGAAATAAAATTTTTAAAAATATTTGTTAAACTCGTATATGTGTATGTTCTGAAAAAATTTGGTACTTGAGGAAGCTTTGCTTCAAATTTCTCTACTTTTGTCAAAATAAAATTTATAATGAAATAATTTTAAAATGCCTATTTATGTTTCTTTTGAAATAACTTGGTAGAAACGCGAAACTATTTGAGACACAAAATGTAATAAATTAAAAAATGTTTTATAGCTGTGGAATTATATGAATAATAATTTTGCAAAAGATAATACATTTTTTTGTGATCTCAAAGTCAAATTAATATTTTTATTTTTATTTTTCAAGAAATTCTGTGCTTTAATCACAATCAAATTAATTGTTTCAATAAAAAAAATCATTACGTGTCCTATTTGTGCATCTAACATAGAATCTGTAGAGTTTCCATCGCCTATTTGAGCTATTCGCTATCGATGAGAGAAAGCTCATGTTACATGACTCGACATCTTCTGCTGCCTATATGCACAGAAAATAATTTTAAGTTTCGTATAAAAATGTTATAAAAATAAATTTAATTTTTAAATAAGGCTGTATCTGCCCATTACTCTGATAATGAATGTGTAAATACAATATGAAAGATTTGATGGTTAGTGTTGATCTCAGTTAAGTGATCTAGTTTCTCGCTGTGTGGCATATGTCATCTGTGGTGCAGTTCAATCGTCCGGAGATGGCGACTTGTCACTGCCCGAGAGACTGGGACTTGTGGAACAGCATCGCATGGCATCGCATGGCATCGCATGGCATCGCTTGTCACTAAATTGACCCATTTCGGGGCTTAAGGCGATGCCGCAAAAGATGCGGCAAGGAAAATGGGAGAAGAAAACCAGACTGACGGGCTTAGAAGCAGAATCTTGGGATGCAATGGGGGAGGCAAGCTTCGAGCTCCAAGCTCCAAACTTCAACCAGTTGCACTGACTTGTGCATGTAGGTACAACCGATACATGCCTGGAAACATTCTTCTGGGCCACTTGGAAACTCTCCGAGTATTCCATTCTCATTCTGCGACTGTTCTCCGGCTGACCATTGCATTCTTATCTTAATATGCACACATTTCTTCTTCGTGCTTCTGGTTCTTTTGGATCTCCGGTTCAGAAGAGCACTGCTACGTGCGTTGCTTACTTTGCAGCATTTCTCCTTTCTTCTCCACCTTTCTTTTCCTCATTAGCAAGTCGAGTAACGGTGCACATTGTTGTCGGTTATGCAACGCCATATAGGATGGCAGTGCCCCCTGGAACAGTTCCGGTCAAGATAATAGATGTCCAGTCACAAATTTAAATACAACCATTCCATCTGAACTTATTAAATTATATACATGTGTATATATATTCAAAGTTGACAGAAGTGGTTAGACTTGGAATTTAAAAAAACATATACACCTTCAAAAATAAATAACATGATAAAGAATTAAAGGTCCAGCCCAAATAAATACTTATAAATATTCAGTTGCACAGAAAATGTATCTACGACTTTAATTGTGTAAAAATTTTGATACAAAAAAAAAACTGAAAACTAATTTTTTACTTTCATGAGATATTTTTAAAATTTTAAGAAGCAGTGATTCTACCCATTTGTTTTGTAATTTAGAAAAGATGTTATTTATTTAAATGTAATTCGCAATCCTAAATGGTTCTTTCTTAAATTAAAAATATATATATCTTTAACATTTAAAATTTGTTGGACATTTCTTAATGGCCCAAATTATTTAATAAAAACATATTAGTAAGTATCTACGTCTGCAGCTCTGCAAACCAAGCTTCTAAATATCTTTATCCCTCTCAACTTGTATTTCTCCCCGTCTTTCTATCCACTCTTGATCGCTGGGTTATGACATAAATTGTCCAGCCTCCACATCGTTTATTGACGGCTTAATTATGCTGATGAGTTCGCTTTGACAATTATTATTGTTCTGCAAATTGCAGGGCGGCAATTTTCGAAATCTTTGTGCGTAGCGGAGCATCATTTGAAACTTATTTATACACACTATTTGTTGAGTTAAAATGGAATATTGTGTCTGAATTGTGAAGAGCTGTCCGGAGTTTTATTTTGTGGGTTTCGATTAAAATTTTTTTTTAATTATTTAAGAACAAAAGTTAATACTCATAAAACCCGAGCTCAGAAATTCACCAAGTGTTATAACACCTTTAAATTAAAAGTGAAATTAATCGATTGCGAAGCGATTAAGGTTAAGCTACAGACTTACTTTTGTGTAAGCTTGAAAACAAACACCAATATGTCCACATTTTAGTGAAATTAATTAAACAGTTACACAAGTTTCTTAGCCGATTCCATTTTGAAAACTTTCATAATTTAACCCACATTTAAGCATTGATTAATAACATAACCCATTTTTCTTTTGAATCTATGTCGAATACCAAACAAATTCGCATGCCAACATAAATCATCTGCTTTCGAGTCTTTTGTCTCCCTGCGAGACCCATTTAAGATAGATGGCCACCAGCTGACCTCAGACCGCTGAAGAGCTTACAGCAAATGGGATTATCTACAAATGAAATCATAATTTTTCTGCAAAGACCAAATATACATCTTAATTATTACCTTTTTTTCGGTAATAATTTGCATGGTTTCCCGTGGCAACTAATTAACATTAATCATACGAACCACAAGCCGAAATGCTCGAAAAACATACAAATATTCACGGTCACTCTCACTTTGAACATTAAAAAACGTATGGTGAAAAGACGGGCATGGATTTAATGAGCCGCTAGACATTCATCAGAAAATTATGAATTTGTTTGGCCAGAGTTGAGTGAACCCGGACTGAGCTCGTGATTTTGGTACATATGAACCCTTGGGCCTAGGCAAAATCACTCGCGTTAATTAAGCAGCGCGTTTGAAATTTGTACAAATTTTAATTTAGTATTCATGTATTCAGCAGTGAGTCAGTTAGTAGTGCTTTTTCTAACACGGTTTTTTGGGGGGACCCAGAAAATGAACCGGAAAGCACGCGATGTTGATCTTTAGTGGGAACCAGTTGTCACCGACTTTGGCTTGTTCTTTGACTCAAAATACATTCATATCTGCTGTCTCGGAAAATGAGAATCCTATGCTGGTTGAAATATTTGATCGCATTTAGATAAACCAGAGGTGGAAGTCGTTTCAAGGTAGCCATAAACTAATTTACATATTAGAAAGCCCTCCGAAATTGATTAGCTTCGATAGCGCAGATTTATTCTGCCACTATCCATCGCATCTTTCATCTAGGCATATCTAATCGCCTGTGGGATGTTCGGCTTATAAATGTATGCCAATTTTTCGCTTGCTTTTGTTGGTTTGTTTTTTTTTTTTTTTACCTATTTTACTGAGAAATTTTGTCATTTTAGTGGCACACATTTTGAGATTTCTCATCAATGGCCTTACTTATTTTTCGCAATTGTTTTTTATATTCCTCTTTTTTGTTATTTCTATGTCTTGAGCTTGTTTTATGTGTGAAAAATCTGCTTGGTTGTTTTCTTAATGATTTTGTACATTTTTTTTTATCGAATTCTCATTGTTCAATCATTGGGACTTTGTCTATTTGGTTTTTAATTTTTTATGGAACGTGGGATAGCTTGTGGGATTGCAAAATTTGTAAAAGTTTGCAAGAGTGTGGGAAGAAATTAGAGAGTTGACGAGGGGCTTATCAAAATTTCACTAGATATTTCAGCTGGAATTACCCATAAAGCAGGTTTACCCTTCATATAAGGCATTTCCATAGAATTCTTTTCTCTAATCGCTGCACTCGGCAATCAAGCAATTGGCAAAGAATTTCCTTTATGCTCATATGTGGCTACAAAATATCTTTTGCTCTGTGGCAAGGTATTTATCTCAAGTGGAAAGGAGAACGTCAGGAGGGGGGAATCTGAAAAGGTGTCAGTTGAGATTGCGATTGCACGCAAATCGAAGAATTTCCAACGTGGGAAAACGAGTTCGACATCGCCCCGAAATCAAGTCAAGCTGAAAAGCGTTAAAAGCTTAAACAAACAACGAGTGACACAGAAAGAAAATTGATTAGTTTAATCCTGATATTATATCGCTACAAAAATATGTATCATTGTATCAGTTTCTGCTGGAAGAATATATTTTCACCAATAAAACTATATAATTTCTTATTTCTTATTTAAATCATGGTCACTTAAAATGGAAAATAGGTGTGGTTTTTTTTTCCTGTGCATCGATCGAGCCATTGCAACAGGCAAATCGCTCACGCGTTGCATGAAATGCTAAAGGAAAACCACAATAGATACGAGATACAAGCTATCCAACCAAAGATACGTTCGTTCGAGTATCGATTGCAGCTCATCTGAGACACTTTTTTGGCTACGATCGAATTGTTGCAATTTCCTCTGGTCGGCAATTTCCCGCGTCACCATTAGCGAGCCCCACTCTTCGGCATCTTCTACTTGGCCGGCACTTAATTGTCTATAATTATGCATTAATGAATGCATCTGGCCGAGAGCACGAAATCATGTTTGAGAATTCTTGCATGAAACGTTGCATGCTCTAGCCAACTTTCCGTCTTACCGTCTTTCCGTCCCCACCTTTTATGCAGATCGCATTCGACTATTGGAGATCGATAAATCCGCAAATTGCACGCTTCGATCGCATGTCGTTGATAATGATCGCTGTTCCAAATGCTCTTCTAGCTCTAAGTCAGTGGCCATGGATGAGTGTGCCTTGCTTGAAGGGGTTATTTCGAATCACTAACGTCTGAATATATGCTTCAGCTGAGCTCAGCGATTGACTCAGTTTTTCCTGCTATGTATTTGATTCCGCTTAAATTTCAAGTTTTGGTTCGTCTTTTGGTTCATAAAAAACGGTCTCTATTAAAGTTTTTACATATATTTTGTTCCATTTCTTCATATTTTTTTATACTTTTCATATTTAATAACACAGATGCACAGCAGAAAAATTCCAATAATCATTTGTACTTTTCCATAATAATTGGGTGCTCATAAGTGAAATCCCATACAAGTCTACATCAGCTAAGAATTCCGCGGTTTCAAAAATTTACAACTGGAATTATAGTAATTTTGTAAAGTTTGAGAAGAAATTTAAAAACACAAAAATGTTGATTTTAATGCTTTAAACAATTTTATTAAATATCCTTTTGAATACTTATGAATTAAAACACCCAGAGTGGACTGTAGATTCCAAGAGAAATTAAAATTGTTTTCAATAATGATGTATTTTTTTACAGGCACTTTAAGATGACAGAAATTGTGTAAAATTCAGAGCATATTCAATGGTAGATTTGGGAATTTTTTTTTAAAAATTAACTCTGGTTAATTAAAAGTTTTCTTTCTTTTCTTTTCATCAAAAGTAGCCAGAACAGCTCAGAAATAAAACACCAACATTTGATTTGGTTTGAAATTTGCTTAAATGGATTTCTAGTACCCCTGCATATATATATACATTACTATAACAATTTAGGTAATATATTATCTTTATGCGGACATAACCGGAGTTTTAATTTCAATTTTGTTGAAATAATGTATGTTAATCAAGAACTAAGCATAAGCGACAATCCAAACAAAGCACCCAAGCAACTTTACCACTTTCCTAGGAGCGTTGTACTACATTTTAAGTTAACTTGGGAGCTTAGAAGCCGTTCTAAGACCGCACACATTCAACCTTCTTCACTAATTGCGGCCCACACACAAACTGAACCTGGCCCAAAACCATACCGATAAGTGTGAGTTTGAGTACCAGTATGGGGCTGAGTTCGGGTTTGAGTACGAGTACAAGTACGAGTACGAGTATGAGTACGAATACGAGTACACACTTGCCTGCCCGGTGGCTGGAAAAACAATTTAACATTTTGCACGTTGGCGACAGATTTGCATCTGAATATGCAAGCACAATAAATTGTTTGCCATGGCAAAAGCAACAATGTAAAGTGCATACTTTAATGCGGCATTTTGTCTATTTAATTAAATTTTGATTAATTGTCAATGCACCACGAAACGTTCATTAGTTACAATGAAATATTGAGTGTGGGCTTTAAAAGTACTTTACTTCAATTGGTGTGGCTGGAAAAGTACATTTTTCATTGGAGAATAAAGATTTATTAGATTTCTGATTTACAGAGAAATGAATACAAATCATTATCACAAAAATATATTATTCTCAAAATCATTTTGAAGCCCTTACTATAAAAGTCCCAAATAAAAGAATTATTTACTGCTAATAAAGTTTATAAATTATGAACATTTTTATATGAGTATTATTATACTAATTTATAAACCGAATTTAAAATGGTATATTTGTAATCAGGTATAAGTAATTTTTTCGAAAAAATTGACCTTTCAACTTTTTTTTTGAAAAATCTGATTCAACCTTCTATAGGCACGATTGAAACTGATTATTAGAAATCACTTAGCGACGCCCCAAAAAATCGACTTCAAAGCTTTGGTCATCATTGACCTTTTCGGCATTCGCTGTTGTTCAAGTTTTCAAGCTCAAATCAACAAAATATTGCCATCGCTTGCCATGGCTTGGCTGTTATTTTACTGGGCGCATGAAATACGGCAAATGTAATTACCATAACAAATAAAAATATTCTCGCCTAATTGCCTCGAAACAAAAGTCGGCACAATGGCAAGTGAGTCGATGGATATATGGCTTTTAGTGGTCTTGAGGGGAGTTATGTGCGGTGGACCTTCAATTGGCAATTTTAATATGATCGTTGCGGATCAAGCCACAATTCCTTTGGGTAGACATTGCAAAAGTTCAACCATTTTTAAAGTCAAGGTTTCATTTACTTATAGTTTTTTTATTTTGTTTTGTGGGTGCATTCGGCTTGTTTTTCATGCCGTCAAAGCATTCACAATAATTATTTTAATTATTATTTAATAACAGAGCGAAAATACATTTTCAGGTTATTATTGATGGTAATGACTGATAGAATATTATAGGACATTATTCACCAGTATTTTTAGCTTGTCTTTTATTTGATATTAAGTATTTTTATTGGGCGGCAGCTATTTGTTTTTTATATGTGCTATTTGTATATAGTTATTTTTTAAGTTAAACCATTATTAACAGTAATGACTGGTCATTATTTTTTTGTAGGTAATAGTACTGCAGACTTTGTATTACTTTAGACTGAGAATTATGCAATTTACCCAACGAAAGTCTTGGTGAAGTGTAAAATGTTTTGTATTATCTCTTTTATTATTAACTTTAAATTTATAATCTAGTAATATAGTCCATAGTAGGGTAATTTGGGCTATTGATATTAAAAAACTACATTACATTTCATTAATATTAATGGATGTAAATTGTAACGTACACTTCGTTTTAAAATGTACCTTTAAACTATTGCAAACTTTTTTCCTAAAATAAACGCATTTAGTAAATGCCAAAAATAGCCTCTTTATGTTTATCTTCAAAACTGTGCAATCTTTTTGACCTTTTAAGAGTTGTCAAATTTAGCGATTGGCCATTCTCCCCATGATCTCTATATGGTCGATGGTATCTCAGTCTCTCAAGTCGCCAGGCTAATCTCTGCTGGTCAATTAATGTCCGCTTCGATTGCAACTTGAGCAGATAAAACGTCAAAGATATTTTAAAAAATATTTCGTGTGATTTGCTGAGATTTTTAAATCTTTTTTTTGTTTTTTTTTTTTTTTACCTAATGTGCCGCAATTACGTTCGTCGATTGGCATTTAATTAAAACAAATATTATGGGTGGGGAAAACGCACTCAAGGGGGGACTGTCCGGCTCAGGGGTTTATCTTCACGATATCGCGGATTTGACAGGTTTAGGTTTTTGTGTCTGGCTCGCCTGATGTTTATTTATACAGCCGCCTTGTATTTGTTTTAATCTGCAAAGATTTGCATTTCTGTCTGTGCAAATGATTTATGCTCCCCGATGTGGTTGTTGTTGCCGCTGTCAGCGCCGTCGTCAAATGGATTTCCATCATTTCTTCCAGCTCCAGCCCCAGTGTATGGATGGTGAGTAGTTTTTGTTTTCATTGAATCCGGCAGCTTATTTGCCTTTCAATCAAAGCCACTCGGGCGGAGGAAATAAGTTTACATTTGGCTGAATTTGCTGATATATTTTCTGTGCTGTTTTGTTTCAAGAGCCACTTCAATCCGTCCTTGTCTCAGAGTAAACCAGTTCCGGACTTTATATTGAAGGTCTGGGCTGTGGTCCGAAAAGTTATCTAATGCATATTAGAGGAATCTATATGATTTGTTGCAAAACGGTGTCTTTAATGACAGACAAAATCTATTTCTCCTTTTTTTTTAATATATATATATATAAAAGTTTACTATTTTTTATACGATTTTTAATGTGAAAATAGTAATCCACCCAATCAAAGGTTAATTCCAGCCAATCTCCCCCATTTCTCAATAGTTTCTCCAGGCGAATTTCTCTCAACAAATGATGCTCATTCACTGGACACGCTAAAAAATGAAAACAAATAATATGCAACAAACATAAAGATATAGATATCGCGTATATCAGTGTAAAAGCCGCACCTTTGATAACAACATTACTTTTATTATGATGTATTTTCATGATTTTTGACGCAAAACAAGCTAAGCAAATTATTTTTAATTGCTACATGCACCGCAGCAACCATTTTCACAGCGCCTGAGGAAAGTGTGAAAACTGGAAGAAAACTGCAAAGCCTGTGAACGGGTATAAATAATAGAAATGTTGTCTTAGTCTGAAGATCGGCAGCCGCGATTTAACTCCAGAGAGCCATTTTTAAGACCCCGGAGCTGCGGTTGCAAATGGGAAACATTTGCGAGAATACAGAATACACTTAAAGAAAAATGACTGGGAATTCAATTTTAAATGTGTCAATGTGTTGCACAAAGATTGAAACAGACTTCATTTCTGTACTATTGATCTTAAAATGTATATTTTTGAAAAGGTACTTATCCTAAAAACTTGCAAAACACTTAATCAAAAGGCTTTTATTAAGAAAATACCAAAAAAGGTATCCCCAAAAAAGAAATTGTTATGAAACTAGACTGCAGTCTTAGACTCATTGCTATAGAAAATAAATTTCTGTAGTTCCTTTTCAAGATACACTGATTTAAATAATTATTTCTCATATAATCATGGTCTTTAATTTTTTTAAAGTGTTACAATGCAAAAATGAAATATAAATATTTTTCTCCGTGCAGTGAGAGCGAAAAAACCGCGTTGCAATCCCCACAGTCATGGAGATCTTAGCTTGGCCATGGTGTGTGTGTGTGCACAACAAACTCCACATGTGGTCGGGTCGGATAGGATAGGATAGGATTGGATCGGATCGGATCGGATCAGATGGAATGGGTTGGGGTCGGGGTCGGTTGGATGGGAGTGGATTGGAGTGGAGTGGAGTGATGACGTCGGCCACTTAAGCCAGAGAGAGTGCAGGCAACAAGATCTGCGTCAGAAAGCCTGGTTCAACCTAAATGGTGTAACATAAACAAACCAACGGGTGGATGGCTTTTTAAAGGAATGAAAAGCAGGGAGTTGGAGGTACTTGAAATGAAAGGATTTACATTAGACTCTGAACTCTAAACGAGAAAGAATCAGTTTAATAAAAGAAAAGTGGCAGATCGTGGGTTATTTATTTTCATTTCTTACTTAAAACTTTTAATTCAAAAAGAACAATGCTTTTTAAAATGGCAAATACAATTTTAAAAATATATATTTCTACTAAAATTCTTGTTTACTTGTTAAATATTATGAAAAATGGATTATAGAAGTTGAGAACAAATTAAATTAAAAAGAAAAAATGTCTTAAGTGCCGATACGGCTGACTGAATGGAGCAGCAGCTGAAAAGAATTATCAGAATTCAGATTTGTTTTATTATTTTTCTTTTGTTTTTGATCTGAAAGAGAAGCTTCTGTATATATAAAACGCTGGATTCTAAAGGAAGAACAGGAGTGAGAAGACAGAGGAAAAAATTAAAAAAATAATAAATTTGCTGAGGGTTGAGGACGAGCGAATTTAACCTTGAGTTAAATTGGAAGGGGATTCTAATGAGTTCTTTGGGGCAGATAAAATCGAGTGGTGCGGGGAAGGTCAAAGTGATCTTGGGAGGAGACAAGTGTCAACATTAATTTGAAGATGTCTGAATGTTAATTCACAACGCGAATATCGCATAAATTTCTCATATGCACATTTTTTATCTCTATAACTTATATCTTTTCAGTCCGCGACGTCGGTATCTTTTCTGCATCGAGCTCGGCATATTTGCCACTCCCTCGACTCTCGGCTCATCTCAAATTTTATATTCGGTTTGTTTGGTCTGTCAACTCGCATAAACAAACAATTCGCTTGACGCCTTCCCAAGCTGGGCTTTAGAATAAAACAAAAAAAAAAAAAAAGAAGGAAAAGAAACACCCAAAAAACCGTCACAGAACGCAGCATAAAATTAAAATAATTTTTATTTTCACTCCGTTTCTGTTTTGTGGTGTCATTTGTTGTCTCTTGCGGAACCTTGACTCTTCTCCAATCTTCTTCACGCCCAGCATGCAAATTTTCTGTTCTGTTTCTTGTTTTTAAATACACGCGCTTCAGTTGTAAAACTTCAATCGGTATTGCTGACTTTGGATGGGCACTACAATCGGGTGGATTAATACCTCGACTGCCAACAATATCGAAAATACTATATTAATACACGATTTTTAA